CCCTGAGACACGCCCACGGCTCCTCTCTGCCTTCGCCACTGCTGCCCTGCGGTCTAATCTCTTGCTACCTTCCCATCCGCCTCGCTTTGGGCATTCCAGCTCTGTGCCCGTTTCTCATGTAACACATCAAGCTCTCCTATTCCACAGCATTAGTCCTTGCTTGCTTCTCCTGGAACAATCTCAGACAACTCAATCTCAAGTTCCTGCACCCTCACTCTTGTAGCTTCTCCCCCACAGTCCACTTGAAACAGCGAGTCTTTTTTTTTTTTTAAAGATTTATTTTTATTATTTTTTCATTGGAAAGGCAGATATACAGAGAGGAGAGACAGAGAGGAAGATCTTCCGTCCGATGATTCACTCCCCAAGTGAGCGCAACGGCTGATGCTATGCCAATCTGAAGCCAGGAGCCTCTTGCGGGTCTCCCACGCGGGTGCAGGGTCCCAAAGCTTTGGGCTGTCCTCGACTGCTTTCCCGGGCCACAGGCAGGGAGCTGGAAGGGAAGCGGGGCTGCCGGGATTAGAACCGGTGCCCATATGGGATCCCGGGCGTGCAAGGCGAGGACCTTAACCACTGCACCACCGCGCCGGGCCAGAAACAGCGAGTCTTGTGCAGACATCATCTTCGGCTGCTTCTCATGGCACTCCTGAGCAGGCAGCTCCCTGTGAGACAACGGCAGCCTGCAACGCAAGGCTGGAGATTATCGACCATGCCATATGCAGGTTCACATCGTCTGCATGGAACATCACATGATCACACCAACAGTGCACCTCGGCACAACTTCCACTGGCCACGTGACTCCACCCACCTGGTCTTGACCCGACACATCCACTAGGAAGCCACTACTCATGCACACAGCCTCGGGAGCCTCATCACAACCTTCTGCGAAAGATTAGACCTGATTTCTTGCTAGTCCAACAGTAAGGAATCTGTAAACTGAGCACAGAGCCTGTGGCTCCAATGGGATTGGGTATTTCCTGCCAGCCTGGATACAACATACCTACTAAAGAAATGTCCAATATTCATTGCCCATCTGTATGCTAATGCTTCAAGAACTTGTGCTGAACCTTCAAACGGACTTGCAAGCAGTCCAAATGAACACTACAGACGTTGCAACGTGGTCTTATTCACAAGTTGACAGATTCAGCATTACTGATGAGTCACAGTTCCAGGCAATTTCTTTACTCAGTTGTTCAGTGGAGAAAATCCAAGCTTTGCCCCGTGTAGCCCCAGTGCCCGTCTCTGTGATGAGCCCTAAGCACGTGGGATGGGAGTTGCTGGAACCAGATCAATGTCTTGCAGGTAAAAACGCCCGTCGGCTTTAGAAACCAGAAAGCCAGCCTCGCTCATTTACCAAGGCAGCTCAATTGTTCAAATGAAGAAAAAGACCCTTTACCTAACACAGGTAGTGACTCTCAGCTTCGAGCACAATTTCTGATTGTAGTAGCAAATTAAAACCTAGAATAACTAGTGATTTATGCAGACCTGAACTTTCTCCTATAACCTAAGTCTGAACTGGAATCTGAAACTCTCTCTTGAAGATGTTTCAGAACATGATACCCAAGTTCCAATTTTTCCCTCTCCTCAAGAACTGAAGTCTCTCAAACTTCTCACACACAGGTAAGCGAGGGGGAGAGATCCAAGCCTCACTTACTTTAAGCAGGTTTTGGGGTGCACTAGTTTGTCCTTAGGCCCTTTTCTGTTCTAAATCTTAAGTAAACTAAACTTTCAGTGATGTATATGTCTACTGAAGTATTGATTAATACATTCAATTAGTAACGCAACTATATTAATGGATTACTGCCTCCGTCTTCAGTGTCTGCAGGGTAATGGGAAGGCCTTACGGGACAAACACAAAGCACAGCCAGGCAGCCCGCCCTGATGTCGCGTTCTGTATTGGCCACTTCACCTGGAGTGCCCCTTCTGCTAAGCAGTATTCTCCCCACTCTCAAACAGCTGCAGGTAAAACTGTTTAGACATTTCAACGTAGAGAAAAATAGGTTCCACTACCCTATACAAATGAGAAAATGCTCAATTAAAGAAGACGTTAAATAGTAAGAACGCTCTATCGTGTAAGCTAAGGGAAAAACAGAAAGTCCAAACTAGACAAAAACAAAACAGAACAAACAAAACACCAGAACAAAACACAAGACCTAAATGACCCCAAATAGGGCAGGGTTGTGAACAAAGTTCATTTCCTTTTATTTAAAAACCAGAGTGCAACATCTATAGTTAAACAACTTTATTAACAGGGTCAAGCAGTGATTAACATTCACATCTATTATGTCACATCATACAAATGTAAATACAAAATTACTACAGTACAATATATATTCTCTGCATGATCCAAAATATTTGGTGGCCCCAAAAAACTCTCTTTAAAAGTCAGCAGCTTATCAAAAATTAAAACCGTATTCTATTTAAAATGAAGATCTGTTAGCACAGAGTTAGAAGGAGTATCAATTTAGTACATTTGGAGAAGTTGCAGGAAGATCTGTTTGAAGGACATATTCTAACATAGTGTGGCAGGTACAGGAAACGTCAGACTTAAAGCTTTTTAAGCATAACTCATACAACCCAAGTTGTCAGCAGAAAGATCCAGTTATTTATAACTAAAGCTAACACTACTCAATTATTGCACCCACTGTTAACACGAATAGCCGAACTGCTTCAGAGTATGAAGACATTTGCTATGTTTAAATGTCTCTTCTCATCAGATAAACTATTAAGTAAAATTAATTCTATAGTATGGTCTAATGATTATCTCCGTTAAGTCACCCACACTCAGTCCGGTTACACATTCACAAAGAAAAGCAAAATGATGCGGGAAGTACAGCAGGATCCCTTGAGGAGGCCCCTGTCGGGGGCCAGCACTGCCAGGCTAACCAGAACACAGACAGGCATCAGGATAGCTGGCTGGACTGGCTCCTACCACACATCAACAAAAACTGCGATACAAAGAAACCTACTGGTCTTCTAATTAGCAACAGACTACCTTGGCAAACAGATTTTTTTTCATGTGTAAAAGGTGACAAAAACCATCACTTTCACTTTCCTCAAAATCACGCACGTATTTAGTCATAATGCATCTCTAAAAAACAAAACCACAGCACATTCTAAGGATATAAGCCGTAAAAAAAGTTGCTGTAACTTAAATGTTTAAGAAACTAACACCTAAAAAATGTGTAATAATTAGACATAAAGATGATGTACGATGAAGTAATGCCAATGTGGAAAAAAGCTGTCCTTGACTGTCTGCAGGTGAATGAACCAACCTTGATGTAAAGATTCGGGAGACAGGTGCCGTCTCCATGGTTACTACGCTATGAAACGCACTGTTGGCGCACAGAGCCACTGCACGGTGTCACTACGAGATAACATTGTCCACACAGCTCTTCCTTGGGAATCTCCCGGGTCCTCGACCACCCTGGACCAGCTGGCACGGGCCTCAGTGCCTGCACTTCACAGTAAAAGTACCAGCAGTTAGTGTCTGCTACCCAGTCCCTGTATTATTTGCAAAAATTAATTCCATAAGCCAAGCTGTGTTTCTCACTACTACCGAAGGAAGGATCTGTACTAGTTACGCATGAGGCATTCTTCTCTCGGGAAGAATGTTTTTGCACCATTATCTGTTAATACATTCAATATGAATAATATAGATTAACTTTATGAAGCTAAAAACCATTTTCCTCATGGCAAAAGAACTTATGTTTAGACTACAGAGTTTAAGACACAGTTTTATCCTGGCATTTCAGCTATGCGGAACAGTTTTACAGAGCAGAGACAAATTCGCATTTTGCTGTTTTGAAGTTTCGGAAAAAAAGGAGGGTCAAGTTTAACTCGCTTTCAGACAAACCTGCACGCGGAAGATCTGTCGAAGGAGTTTTTACACCACCCTTGCTTGCTAGAGTAATTGGGGGGGGGAGGGAACTAAATAAAAACAAAACCAAAGAAATAGACCAAATGGGAAGATTCTCAATGAAAGTTGTTGAAAAACGTACGGCGACCCTTTATAGCACGTCACCAAACAAAACTGGCAGGAGTATTCACCTGAGATAAAACGTGTATCTCAATATTTTACAACTGAGTAGACAAAGCATTAAGAGGAAAGTTGAAATTATTCTAAAATATACATCTGATTCTATCTTACAATATATGCAATTTAAGCAATTCAGATCAATGAAAAAGTCTTAACCAAAAAAATCACAGTGTTTATATCAATATGTTACTTATAAAACGTATGCTACTTGTTTTGTCTGTAATATGTAATGGCTTGGTTAAGTGTTTTACAACCTATCCTGCAGTTTGCTTGCTTAGTAACAAAATCAAGTAGCAATAATGCAAAGCATCGGAACTGGCTCTCAAAGACTATTTACATGTTGATTATTTGGGAAACAACCAACCAAAAATATAAAAGTGATTTTTTTTTTATACAATATGAAGTCACTGAAGAGATCAGACAATACAAAAAGCAAAATCCTTTGCTGAACAAATGACAATCTGTGGCACTAGGTTCACTTGCTAATGGACTGTAACATGGAACTGCCAGACGTGCATTTAAATTACAACTAAAAACACACTTTCTGTTTCCAACTTAGGTTGATCAGCAGCTTTTGTTCTGTTAGAATCCTTCAAAGAGAGAAGCTCAGACAGGAAAAAGAAGGCATATATCAGACAGTAAACACGGACCTCCTGAGGTTCCTACAACATAAAAAGATTCAAGTAGAAAATCTCCGTCCCTAGCAGCGGCTAGCCGTGCAGCCGAGCACAGCAACGGCACCCAGCACTTAGCGTGTGAGCAGCAGCTGCGGGAAGCCGTGCCCGAAGCCTGCCGAGGCAGGAACACTGCAACGTCACCAAGACAAACCCACCATCGAGGACGCTCAGGCAACACTCAGAACTCGTGAGACTACACGCCAACTCAGTTTGGTTTATATATATATGTGTGTGTGTATATAAGTATACACACACACATATATATAATATTCATCCCATGATGGATCAGGTCTTCTCAGAACAGTGAATGCTAAATCAAAGCTTACCTCGGAAGAGAACTTAAGATGGCCTCTGCCAACTCCTGCGCTACACTATGTCATCTGCAACACGAATGAGAAACAGTACCCTCCAGGGGGCGCACACACGCAGGGCCAGCCCAGCCTCAGGCTGCCACGAGTATGCACTTTTATGTTCTTTTAAATTCTTTTTCTTCAAATTTGGCATTTTTAGTATTAAATGGACTGCAAAATTGGGCACACTGTCATTAAACATCTGCCTCACTTCACGACATTGCCTTCGGTCAATACAAGCCCAGATGCATGGAGTCCGTTCTTCCCATGTTTGTTTTCCACTGTGATCATCAGAGAGGAAATGGCTGTTTCCATTTAAAATAGTCACTACCCACTCCAGGATATTTATCTCCCATACTAAATCCTAAAAAAATATCTGAAATACTATCCAGTATTACTACAACTTAAGGTTAAAACAGCGACCACACACTAAGACTGAACTTTGAGCTCCCAGCAACGTTAACTGAACTAGAAAGCAAAAAGCCACAGCCCTTTCTGAATCCAAGTCACAACTTTAAATAAACTGGGCATTACAAAATGGTTTTGTTTCAGGCTCTACCGACTGAAATTTGCAAAGCCAAAGGAAAGGAAAGAGGATGAAAGAACATATTAAAAAAATGAAAGCAGACACACACACACGCACACCCCTTTCTGCATGCCACCATGCATTTGGACTTTCCAACAGTATTTATAAACCCACACACATAGCTCAAACTTGAGTGCAATGGCTGCATCATTCGAAACTCTGAGAGAACAGAACCATGCAAAGAGGAGCAACTGCTTATAAAAATGGTTATCCAGGGTTTATTACGCAATGCAAAGGTGACAAACTGAAATATAAAAAGGCTGTTATGGCTTAACATTTTTTTGTTGTTGCAGATTAAATATGCAGCATTGAAAAATGGAAAGGCGTGGCTTCATCTCTGACCAGCAGAGTTAAAAAAAAAAAAAAAAAACAAAAGAAAAAGAAAAAAGGACAATCTCTCCATTTTTCCTTCATCATGGGATACACTGCACAGGCAATCCAAACTAATAAGATCTGCACTTTCACATGGACACAAGGTCAAGTGTACCAGTTAGGTTCTCACATTCACAGTATATAAGAAAATACACATGGAAGGAAAAGTAAAGGGTTAACTGAACAAGGATTTATTCACAGGAATACATGTAAGTAGAGAAAAATAACAGAAAAGCTAACCAAATGAAATGAAGAGGATCCAAAGCGACTGTCACTCTGTAGCTTTGAACTTGCACCCCGTGTGCTTATGCTTAGGGCACAGAGGGCCACCAACATGCGCCAATACAGTGTAGGAACCCTGCATCACATCCATGAACCGAAACACATCTTCAAGATCATGCTTTGAACAAACAAAAAGGAAAACAACAAAAGAAAGCTTAGAAGGCAATGCTGAATGGGAATAAACATTGAAATATAGCAATCAATTGTTTTCAACTTGTACAAATGGTCTTTCTTATGTGCCAAGTAACGCTTATGCAGCCTTTTACAGATCTCCGACCATGTGATTTGAATTTTAGAATTTTTGATAAAATCACTAGTAGCATATAACCATGCAGAAAGCACACCACACTGACAGTACATAGGCAAGGTTTTGCACAGTATATCAGCTTTCCACATTGTGCAGGTTACACACGATACAATACCAATCTTATTCCTAACAGATCCTAAAAAAGGTATTTCAAGGCCTAGCTGTAAACTACAGTACTTTATATAGCTATAATCTTAATAAAAATAAAACCCACAAATCTTATAAAGGAATTTTAAATGCAGGGCTAACTTGAATCGGTAAACTGCAGCACAAACTGGCGCAACATAGGTAAATGAATACCAGTGTCACTGATGCAAGCATGCTACTTTCCCACTAGTTTTAATTACTCTCAAGCACTATGAGCCAGAAGGCATGCCTGAACCTTAAACTGCACTTTAAAGTCTTGGCCTAGAAATTAAATCTAATCAAGTACAACCATCAAATTATATCCACTACATTAATGTTTTAATGCAAAAGTAAGATGACAGATTTGGGGCTGGTCCGCCCAACCCCACTTATTCCCCCTCTCTCCCTGCCCACCCCACAAAGTTAAAAGGAGTGACTCATTTGGCATTTCACAGGGTGTTTCATTGTTGAAATTTCTTTTGCTTTATTTCCAACTTTTTTTTTTTCTTCTTTCTGGGGTACCTTAAATTGTAACTTCCAAGAACCGGTATCTACTGCGGGAAGGCAAGCCGATTCTAACACTATTGGCTTTGTGTAGTTCTGTATCAGCATGCAAAATGAGGCCCCACCACGTGGGAAAATTTATATAAAAACCTTTAACTTAAAAAAAAAAAAAGCTCCTTTACTGTTTGTAACCCCCATTCTTAGGTTTCCTTTATTGTGCGCTGTAAATTTTTTCCTCTTTCTTATCCCTATGCATCATTTGTATGGTTCTTGTTTGGTACAATTCCCCATCATTTTCCAGAATGTACTGTTTTGTGAGTAGACTGAATAGATTTGTTTTTGCTTCTTCACATCCAGTGCAGAGTTGTAACTGGAGACAGATTTCCACCCACAAAGGCTCCAGATGTTAAAACGTTTCCCAACATCGACTTAATACAGTGACGGCCACACCTCCCTCCCGCCCCTCCCAGTAGGGTGGGGATTGTACTGTGTCCCCTACTGGTTTACCCTTCCCCCCGCAGTAAAGGGTAACATTTTCCCTGGGTGCAGAGGCTCCCTCAGAGTCTCCAAGACCGAAGGACCTGTAAGAAAAAGAACAACATCAATTTTATCTTTAACAACTGCTTCTCTTTAAAATGAAACACCGCTGGATGAACTGCCTAGACTCGCTCATTGCAAGTGAGCTGCGTCCTGTTACAGTCCTGCCCTGCCACTGTATCAGACAGAAGGGACACCCAGGGAGGACACTGAGCATTCCCAGCCCTCAGCAGAGATGAACCGTGCCCCACGTGATGCCAGTTAGTCTGCCAGGGTACTGGTATTAACTGCTGCTAGGTAAGAAATAGGGACGAAGAAATCTTTCCAGGCTTAAAATCTAGTTCCTGATGAATAAGCAAACAACAATTCCAACGGCAAGCTTCCACTACAGTTCAAAGCTTAAAGAAGCTACATCATAACCCTGACTGACATTTCTACCCCTTCCTGAGCCAACTTACTGTACCAGGCAATGTACCAAGACAGTACAGAACTTCACCTGTAATTCAGTTCATGAGAGAACCGAAGCTGAGAGTTCAGAATTAGCAGCTCCTTGTAAGGACAGAAAATCTCAAAGACCAGGAGTCCACTTGGACTCTGCCTTCTGTCATCGTTTAATCAATCTCAATCTCCCACTAATTATTTTAAAGCACAGGGCAGGTTCTCAGTAAGATACACGCAAAGAATGAGCGCTAATGACTGTGGGCGGGGGGAAGGACGGAACTGTGCCACAGCACGTTAAATTGCCACTTGCAGTGCCTGCTTCCCATGCGGGTGCCACTCCCAGTCCTGGCTGTTCTGCTTTCAGCTCCCTGGTTACGTATTTGAAAAAGAATGGAAGCTGGCCCAAGTGCTTGGGTGCCTGCACCACGGTAGGGACTTGGATGCAGCTCCCAGCCCCTGGGTTTTGCCTGTTCCGACCCCAGCCACTACAGCCTTTCGGAAGCAAACAAGTAGACGCAACAACTTTTTCTCTCTCCCCCTCTAATAACTGCCTTTTAAACAAACTAGTCAGCTTGCCAAACAAATCTTTCACCAAACGAAGGGGGGTGGGGTAGGGAAGAATTAGCTACACAGCCAAAACTTTTACCTCTACTTGAACTCTCCTTAAAGGCCTCTCAAAGCATACTTAAAAAGTCAACCATGTTTTACTCAAAGTTCTTTTTAAAATAAATTAATAAGCTAACTGAAGCAGTGCCAGAAAATCCAACCAGCATACCAACCTGGATTTCTTCTATCTAGGATTCAAATGGGTCATTCACTTTATTTTGCTCACTAGTTCATTAAACAAAAAAAGAGAGTTTTCAATCAAGTAATTTTAAAACCTAGGGCGGGCAGCATGATGCTACTCTAGTCCAACCACCACGGGAAACAAAGGCTTTTAATCTGACTGAGCACTGCTGGCCTCCTGCGAGAGTGCCAAACTCCTGCCACTTACCCCGAATTCTGGGATTGCAGCTGCAGTGTACTCAATTAAACACCATAAAACGCTGCAAGACGGTCTTTTAAGGGAAGAGGGAACTGGTCAGAGAAACGCCTCCAATTTTCATCCCCAACTTGATTTTTAAATCCATGTAGGATCTGTAAAGAACGAAAAATGATGACTTTCTCAGTAACAAAAGGGAAAGGCTCAGTCTGCACAGCGCATGACAGCAACCACCACGGATCCGGCCAACTTGGATGCAAGCTGCGGCTCTCAGCTCGTCACCTGCTGCATGATTCCATAACTGGCTTAATCACTTCACAGCAAGTGTTTAAATTCTGCTTTGACAAAGCCAGCAGCCTTTGACCTTTTACTAAAGAGAAACCAACATAAAAAAAGTATGAAATTCACCAAAGTAATTTCCATGTCAAGTTTATAAGTGCTTTGGAGCCACTGTTCAAATCTGATTCACTCATTTTAACATTGGCTGAAATGCATAACTGCTTCATTCTTAAATCTGTTACAGCCGAGAGTAAGTAATAAAGCAAAGAACTACACAAGTTCCCTTTCCGTGAAGCTCGGACTTCTTGATCCTTCAGCTTCGGGCCACACTCACACTGCATCCCCTACATGGGGTGGGACCACGTGGGTGAGGGGGACGGTGTGGCTCAGGGGGCCGCGTGGCTCGGGGACGGTGAGGCTCAGGGGGCCGCGTGGCTCAGGGGGACGGTGTGGCTCAGGGGGACCGTGTGGGTGAGGGGGCCGTGTGGCTCAGGGGGACGGTGTGGGTGAGGGGGCCGCGTGGCTCAGGGGGACGGTGTGGCTCAGGGGGACGGTGTGGCTCGGGACTGCGTGGCAGAAGAGCTCTCAAAGCACATGCTCTCCCTGTCACTGCTGCAACCCTGAAAAGCGCCTCACCCAGAGTCCAAGCACTGAACTGAAGAGCCTGACTCTCATGCATAGTGTACAAATAATTCAAGCTTTCAACTACGACTTTAACAGTCCCGAGAGCGGGTACCATAAAGACATAATTACCTTACAGAACATGTCTCTGAGGTCATCCTTTGGGTTAATCCATGATGCAACAGCATCACAAAAAAATATAAAATCCTACGAACAAACAAGACAGGCATCTTAGATTGGTGCCAATCTGTCAAACCCAGCAAAATCTGTACTTCCGTTCACGCTGCAGCAGAACCCTAGCTTGTTTAAGGCACAAACATTTGCAATCGACCATGTTCATAAACTAACAGCAGACTCCCAAGGAACAACCATACTTCTTTCTTTCGTTTTTACTGAAAATTAATGTCTTCTCATTATTTTACAAGACCAAAGCAACAGCATCAAAAGTGGACTTAAAACAACAAATCAACACTAATAAAAATAAACCATGATTTACTGGATTAAAATACTACTTACTTAAAATGCATGGTTTATTCAAATTAACCCCTTTCAAGTCTTCCAATACCCAAATAAGATGCTACAAATTTGAACAGACATCTAAAATTTATGATACTTCTATCAACTCTTAATTTGGAAGATTTTATAATCATATTGATGTTTTCTTTTTGAGCTGTTTAAAAATGGTACCATATTTTGACCAAAAGGGAAAAAAAAAAAAAAGTCAGGAACAGCCAGGTGAGAGGTTGTTTTCAAAAAGCACACCGTCAACGCCTCTAATGCATCTGAGATGTTAACAAGCTTCTCAGGCATCACAACAAACAAGCAACGCCAGGAGGCTACTTGGTGGGGAGGAACTTGTAAAGATTTTTTTCTTTAGTTGTAATTTGTATGGTATTAATGTCTGTTTTTGTAACAATTCGTATTTGTGAACTGATTCAAGGCCTCAATTTAAAAATGTCTGGGCCTGGTGCAATAGTGTAGTGGTTCAAGTCCTTGCCTTGAACACGCCAGGAGCCCATTGTGGGTGCCGGTTCTGGTCCTGGCGGCCCCACTTCCCATCCAGCTCCCTGCCTGTGGCCTGGGGGAGCAGTTGAGGATGGTCCAAAGCCTTGGGACCCTGCACCCACATGGGAGACTCAGAAGCAGCTCTTGGCTCCTGGCTTCGGATTGGCTCAGCTCCAGCTGTTGTGGCTGCTTGGGGAGTGAACCATTGAATGGAAGATCTTCCTCTCTGTCTCTTCTCCTCTCGGTATATCTGCCTTCCCAATAAAAATAAATAAATCTTAAAAAAAAAAGTCTGAAGAACCTTTTTCATGGACGTGAAAGGTTTTCAATTTTTTGAAAATAAACTATTACAGTCAAAGCATGTCACTGCAGCTGTCACCAAGGGGATATCCCAGAGGCGAGGCCTGCACTCAGCAACCCCCACTCCTGGGCACTTCCCATTTGCAGATTTCCCATTTGCAGATTTCCTTTCCATTCTGCCCTTTGCTCACATTTTATCTAACCTCAACTCCCACACGTCTGCATTTTGTTGACTGTGTAGACTTAGCATAATTTATGCTTTGTGAGTCTAGCAAACTGACAGGTGAATCTGGAGGTCTGAATCATATTCAGTACTGCTGCCAAATTAAAGCGTCACCAACTCCAGGCAGTTTCATTTTGGCTTCCAAGAAAACGTAAAAGTGAAAGACAAAGCTCCCAGGAGTGAGGCTGGGAGCCAGAGAACTGCCCAACGAAGGCAGTTTCAATGGCTCGTTCAGCATTGGATGCGCTCCCACCATTTCTAAGTTTGATCCTAAGTGTCATAAAGACGGTATGTCAAGCTCAGCAAGTTCACAGAGGCAAACGCACAGTCAGTCAGGACAAGAGAAGGGCTGGCTGAATCCGGAAGAGCATGAGCCCGCCCGGCACTTGGGCTGCTGACACTGTTACTGCATGACAGAAACCGACGTGGGGAACAGGAGCTGGCGTTGTCATCTCATGGTGTCACTAACCACGGGGACAGGCGCTGGGCACAGCAAGGACATACAGATGCTGGTCTGCTCCAGCACCCCAACGCATCTGGGCAGGTGGGAGTCCCAGTGCTTGAGGGCCCTGCACCAGGTGAGAACCTGACAAGTTCTGGCTCCTGGCTTCCACCTGGCACAGCTCCTGCCTTTGTGGCCATTTGGGCAGTGAACCAGGGAATGAATGATCTGTTTTGCCTTCACTAACTTTGCCTTTTAAACCAATCAATCAATCAATCTATCTATCTTAAAACAAACAAACCCCTAAAATTTTAAGTGCATAGTATGTTTGGATGTCACCATTTCCAAAACGCAGCCAACTCGAGCAGCCCTGGGACTGTCTTACTTGGATCACGCCGCTGGGATTCACACTGATCATGGTACAGATCCCGCGGAAGGCAGAGTCCTTCTCCTCATTGTCTCTTATGTTCCTCAGAGAGGTGCACCTATTGAATCACACAACCAAGTTCAGCATGTGGGGAAGAAACTGGTTCAGTCACAAAACCAATGGACAGTATTTAATGGAATAAGCACCAGAGAGATAATGGTTCTAATTATAAAGAGTTTTCAGAAAACGTTAAGTTTCATTTTCTTTTACTTCCTGTATATGAGGTCCATTTAACCCCATTATAAAGAGTGAAATTCACATTTGCTTAATAGAGTACATGTGAAAAATGGACTATGAATTAACTTAAACCAAGAATAAACAGCAAATTAATTTTTAAGTTGTTTTATGACTTATATTCCATTAAACACAACTAAAAATGATCTGAATTGAAAGATTATCAGTTGAAAGAAGCAGAACATAGGATATACTGCCACAATATAACTATTACTATACAGCTAATGGAGTAGATGTGTACTTTTTATAACAAGCAAATAAGATTTTTTATACATAACAAATTTAAACATGTATTTCTTAATGCAATCCGAGTTTCCAAATTAACTCTAAAAATAAATGTAATGCAAAAACCTAAATTTATAGACTTTGCATGCATCTTTTTTTTTCTGGTGGATATTTAAATGCTTTTTATGTATAATCAAGCTTTTAACACAGCAAGCATGTGACAATCTTATCCCATGCATCAATTAGTCGTTAGCCACAACATAAAATCAATATACATCACGATGCTACTGAGAAACCTCACGGACCTGATAGGACAAGATTAGTCACATGGCTGGCAATGGCTAAGGATTGTGATTTTTGTAACCAACTGAAAATATATCTAAAAGTGAGATAGAGAAAGAAAGAGTGAAGAAAAATGAATTAAAAAAAAAGATTGAATAATACACACCAGGGTCTTATAAACTGCTGTAGCATGGGGGCCACCTCTTGAGGACAAACGTAACCAAGACGACCAATTGTTATTGCTAAGGTAACGCAATCACGGTTATACACCACCAAACGCCAACCAAGACATGAGCAAATGAGGGGGAAGGAGAAAAAATAAAGAAAAAACAACAAATAACTCAGAAACAGAAACCAACAGAATCTGTGTATGATAATAAACATAAGATTTCACCAGTGCTGTTTATTACCACCCCCTAAAGCAAGGGGCGGCAACACATATGGCATACTTTTGGAAAAGAAAAACAAAAGGAATTAAAAAAAACTCTAAAGATTGAGAGAACACCAAAAACCAGAATTGCTTTTTTCCCTTCCTCAGTCAAGTGCCAGATACTGTCGGTGAAAGGCGAGCGACTGGAATGACGGGTTTCATTCAAAGCCATCAAAACGGAGTGCAAGGTTCGTTTTTCTCTCCAGGAAGCACAGTCAACATGCTCACTTCCTTCCATCTCTGTTGCTAAGGAATTTCCATTCTTTGAAATTTATCTGGGAAATTTAATCCAAATGGCTGGTTCTGGGGGTGGGTTGTGGTTAACAGTCCCCGAGGCAGTGGACATTTGTAACTGCTGATCGTCAGACTTTAAACGTAACGCTAGACACTGAATTAACAGTTTGGGAAACCGCTATGCTGCATTAGATGTCATTCCAACAATTTCTGGCAACTTAAAGGTTAATTCACCAGTTTATAATCATATTTGATACATAAAGCTCTAATAAAGGTAATGAGACAGTCCACTATACTGACATGATATGTGGACCAGAGGAAAAATAATGACATTTTGTAAAGGCATAGCATAAAACACATGATTACACCAAAAGTTTCTTTTTTTTTTTTTAATTTTAATTTGAAGTGGACAAACATATTCTTCACCAAAACTCAGCAAGTCTTACACTTACAAAGAACAAGTGCAACTCAGACCTGCATCGTGCAAAGGTACACATAAATACACTTATAGCAACAGGCAAAATGCGCACAGCCAACCAACGCTGACGTATTTTAATGGTGTTCTCTCAAAAACTTACAGGTTAACCTTTCATAAAGAGAGGGTGGGGGCGGGGTAAAGAAAAATGTTTAAGGATTACTTGAAGCAAACTACACAGATAATACTAAAAATCCAGCAGATTTATATGAAGCAAGAGAAAGAAAACCTATGTTCAAAAGACACAAACTATGCAACATTCTCATTAAACAGGCAAGTATGAACAATCCAATGAAACATGCGATAAAGCAGGTGATGGTCCATTGAGAAAGTTCAGTGTAGGATATACTAGTTGGAAAAAAGTGGGGGGGGAAGTAGCAACAAATTGAGAAATTGGCTTTACAAAATATTGCCATAAATACTAAATAGGCTGCTAAAGATGATATTGGCCACCGGCCATGATGTTTCATTTTAATAATTTAAAACACTCCTTTTATGCGGCCACTCTTGAATTCCAAATGTGTTTCTTAATGGATTATAATCACACATGGAACATAGCCTTAGAATAAAGCCAATTTGTTCGAAGGAACTGCAACCAATTCAGCAGCTGATATCCCACAAGAAACTTTAATATACATTACACTCAACATTTATTTGCAGTTATGCATTCACATTAAAAAAAATATACAAAGTTCCTTTCGGTTCAACGATAACTTTATAGTGGCAAGTGTTTTCAAATCTGAATGCCATGTATAGGTCTGCAGAGCCACCTGACAAAGCTTCCAAAATCATTACACATTTGGGGGGGCACTCTTCAGCCAGAAAATCTAATTTACTTGGTGAAATACACAGTACCCAGACAGCCAAACAGCCTCCTAACTGTTTCATAATGAAAAGATTTCCTTCCATACCAATAAGCATGATTGATTTTAGTAATAATAGGATACAATAAGCTTTCTGCAGTCTCAAAATGCTAAATTAAAATGCCTTTAAAAAGGAACTTTCTTATGTGGAAAAACCTTAATTTTTGTCCAATATTTTGGAAATATTCTCAATCACAAGGCTAAACAAATAAGTGTCGTCTTAGAACGGAACGAGACGGACCTGAATCTAAGTAAAATCTACCCCGTGCATCAGCAGCGGCACGTGGGAAGGCCGCAGGCCGCAGGCCCTGCCCTGTGTGCTACAGTATGGAAGGCACTCTACCATCAACATGCTCTCCATAAACGCAAGAGAAACTGGCCTGCAAAATAAAAATCCTACGAGGAATTGCTCAATTTTCCAATCTGAAGAAAATGTTATGATCAAATAGAAAATACATAGGCCTCTGTTAACCAGTCAGCCACTGAATTGTAATCTATTTTTGGCCATATTTTTATAGGGTAAACAAACAAAAAAAAATCTCTGTTGCCCACCTCCAATGTCTTTCTAATTTAAAGGCAAAATTCATGATTCAAAGGCTAGTCGGGGTCCATTTTAGGGAACATTAAGATAAAGAACTAGGAGAAAAATACTTTCTGGGAAATTTCTGAAAATTGGTTATGGAAATGTAGCTAGAACAGTACATTTCATCACTCAGATTCTAAAACAGCTACTACTAGTAAGTTGTGTTTTCAAAGCTAACTCTGGTTTGGGTTTTCTGGGCATCTTACTTTAAAATTACAAGGCAACTAGTTTTCTCTTCACCGTAACATTCAGGCGGATGGTACCTGTATTCTCTAACAACGTCTTTGGTGTGTTGGGTCTGTTAATGATTTCTACAAGCTGGCGCAGCACCATGGGGATGTAAGGCTGCATCTCTATACCTACATCAGCCCACAAAGAGAGAGAGAAAAAAAAAGGGAAATGTGATGTTAAATGGCAACATAAGATATTTCGCTTCTTAATTTTGACATAAGCCACACACAGACAGAAACTAAAATAATCTGAAAAAATTACAAAGTCTTTATGGTTTTCAAGGGGAAACGAAATCTTACCCATTTGAATGGAGATTTCTCCAATAGCCCAGGTGGCATTGTTGCAAACTGAAATGAACTCTGGATTTAGGTTGGTTCCAAGTATTGGCATGAAATCAGCTACAAAACAAACACACACACACACACGCACAATGGTAACAGTTGACACAATGCAGTGGCCGGCCTCATCACCACTACACCCACTGTATTTCAATGTACCAGGCCGAAGCTGAAAGCCAGGCAAGAAATACCGAGTTTCAGCATCAAACAGTTATCAATTATAAACACTTGAGCAATCCTTCCTCATCAGGTTCAAAATTCAAATCAGAAGAAGAAACATGATTAAAATATTTTCCTCCAAGCTAGTTTTTCAAACAAAATTTATTTTAAACCTAGATCTGAGTCTCTTGGGGACTTTCCACCCTCGTATTCAGACCAACTCTTTACACACCACGTTCCACTAACACGGACAATGCTGTCAGGCACCGCCTGCCAGGCTGGAGCAGCAAGCCTGCGAGCGGCTATCCCATCAGAACAGAAAGGACTGGGGCCAGCAGTGCCACTGGAGCATCCCGAGATGAAATTGACTTGCAGAGAACTCGTGGGGCGGCGGGGAGAGGAGGGCTTGGCCATGCTGGGTTAAGCCACCCACTGACATGTGCCATCCATGCTGACCGAGCACTGGCTAGTGTGCAGTGCTGATCCAGCTTTAAGCTCATGCATGTGGGGTCCTGCTCTTCACATTAGAGACCAAGGTGGAGCTGCGGGCTCCTGGTTATCCCTGGTCTAGATTTGGCTCTGGTGTTTGGACAGTCAGCCAAATAAATCTTTACCTTTTAAAAGATTGCTCTATTCGAAAGAGGAAAAGGAAGGGGTGGGGGAGACAGAGCAGAGGGGACGGAAGGACAGAGACACAGAGCAAGAGATTGGTTGGATCTTCCATCTGCTGGTTCATTCCCCAAACGGCTGAATCTTCTGGGCCCAGGCCAGGCTGCAGCCAAGAGCTAGGAGCTTCATTTGGGTCTCCCACGTGGGAGCCATCACTTGCTGCTTCCCCAGGTTTCTGTGGGGAGCTGGACTGCAGCAGTCGGGGCTTGAACCAGTGCTCACACGAGGAGCTGGCGTTGCAGGCAGGACTTGAACCTGCTGTGCTACAGCAAGCAGCCCTAAACAAACCAATCTGCAAAAACAAATCAAAGCTCAACTCTGAGTGGCCCAGGAAGGATGCCTTCTGCTGTCCCCCAGGATCTCCCAGTGTGTGTGTGCTCTCCAGCAAGAAGGCCCTTCCCAGAGGCAGCCCAGTGACCTGGGACTTCCCAGCCCCCACAACAGTGGGCGGAAAAACCAGTGTTGTGCTAGGGCAGCAGCAAATGAACTGAGGTATGGTCCGAGTGAATGCTCCCCCCACCTGTGGCAATGCTGACTGACAGTTTGGGTGAGATCGCTGTTGTAGAGAAAGAGGCTGTCTCATGAATTTTAGGATACTTTGTAGCATTAAAAATTTTTTTTTTATCTCAGGCCTGGTGGTGTGGCCTAGTGGCTAAAGTCCTTGCCTTGAACGCCCCGGGATCCCATATGGACGCCGGTTCTAATCCTGGCAACTCCACTTCCCATCCAGCTCCCCTGCTTGTGGCCTGGAAAAGCAGTCGAGGACAGCCCAAAGCTTTGGGACCCTGAACCTGCATGGGAGAACCAGAAGAAGTTCCTGGCTCCTGGCTTCGCATCTGCATAGTATTGGCCGATGTGGTCACTTGGGGAGTGAATCATCGGACGGAAGATCTTCCTCTCTGTCTCTCCTCCTTTCTGTATATCTGACTTTCCAATAAATAAATAAAATCTTTAAAAAAAAAAAACACATTTTTTTTTTTAAATCTATATTCACTTGAAAGGCAGAGTTCGGAGAGATACTGTTGATCGGTTGTTTCACTCCCAAGTAGCTGCCATGGCCAGTGGCAGGCCAGACTGAAGCCAGGAGCTGCGTCTGGGTTCTCTCTCGTGGGCTGCACGGCCTAGTCATTCAGTCACCTCTGCCGCTTCCCCAGGTGCACCAGAAGGGTGTCACTGCAGGAGTCGGGCAGCCGGCCCTGGAGTCAGCGCCCGCATGTGGTGCTCACAGGGTGGTGGCTTTACCGATGCTACCCCACTGTGCTGGCCCGACAGCACCTGTGGTCAGCAGCAGCTCCCCTGGCAAACTTTCCCTGGAGGGCAAAACTCACCGCAATGAGAACTGCAATTAGACAAATTACCATAACTGACAACATGATGCTGAGTGCACTGTTCAAAATGGTACGCGAAACCAGAAAGTCATAAACAAACAAACAAAAAAACCCCCTTCTGAACATTGAACCCCTGCCCAAACTAAGATCTTACTGAATCCCAATTTCTGGATTTCACCATCATCTAAAATAATCACAGAAAACAGAGGAATGTGAGAGAAGAAACCTAAGATTTAGAGTGAGACAGTCTGTGTAACCAAAAACCTCAGGCACAATTCTCCAAGAAGCACCTGCATGACACTGTGCAGCTCGCGGGCGCCTGTCAACAGTGCTGTGCTGCTATCGGAGCAGGGTAGGAGAGCCTGCTGTGCACAATACATTACATCCTTTCATTTAAGTTTAACTTAGAAAACGTAAGTGATAAATACTTATGCTAAATACAGTAAGTTTCCCATAATATCAGAAGTCATTAGACTAGGCTTAAATTTAATGTGAAACTCAAAGTTCAGAAATAAAAAAATTACTTTTTCAAAAGCAGAACTATAAACACAAAAGACCACTTGGGTCAGTTTTTAAAGTTTCAATCAAACACTTTCGGTTATAATCCGACATGCTGAGAAAGACGCAGGGAAGAAGGAACACGAACCCACATTCATTTCCCCAAAGGGTCTGAGATCAGCTCAGGGAGCGGGAGCCGAGCAATCCCGCACTCCCGTCACAAAAAGACAAATGCTAGGCTACTTCAACAGAAACAAACCATCACTTATTCTGGAAGTGACGCTCCTGCGAAGTTTCTCATGACTCTGGTTTACCACTCCTGGGTACCTCTGCCAAAGCAGCCACGGGCTTCAGCAGGGGCTCCGGCCTCGGATGCCGACTTGCCTGCAGTCAGAGGCGTGCCTCGTGGAGAGGACAGGGAGACGCACACAAACAAGAGAGGCCTCCTCCCATCCTGCCTGCTTCAATCCAAGCAACGACAACCGGGAAAACGGGAAAACGTGTGCTTCCAAAAGTCCAAATCCTTGAAACCACATCCCAGAGCATAAAATATTCATACCTATACAGGGTTTAACGTGCTGAAAGCAGGCTTTTGTCAGGTCACCCAACAGGGCAAAGGAACTCTGTCGAACTTCCGGCATTTTATCCTACAATGAGAGAAGAGCAATCAACCCCCATGCCCTGGGAGCCCCTCGGGCGACAGAACCACTCACACAGAGCCGCTCTGGGTCTTCCCACCCGTGGCTCACCTGCATGCACTGATACATTAGTGTCAGGATGTTGCTCCGGGCGACCAGCTGCTCAATGTTGCCTCCGAGCCCTTCAGCCAGGCCGCTGAGCAGATCAAGGGCCACTATCATAAAGTCTTTATCTGGGGCCTCATATTGATCCGGCTGAGCATTGTTCAGCTGAAATCAGACATGATGGCTTGAAAATTTGGCTTTTAGTTCATTACCGGAAAAGCATATACACATTATCTGTCTTTAGAAAAGTGTTCATGCTAAGAAGGGAAAGACATAAAAAGAAAATACCATGGCTTGTGCAAGAGTCTTCTGTACTAGGTTCACACAACGTTGGTAGACGGGTTCGCAGTAGGGCAGGAAGCCAGACTGCAGGGCCGTGGCAACTGAGGACAGACACTAGGAAGAACAAGGCAAGCTCAGTGCTCTGAGGGTACTGAGGACGACAGGTGTAGGGACTGCGATCAAATGACAGCAGAGCTGTCTTTCCAACCCTCTCCTGTGGCTGACACTGCCACCCTCAGCCAGCAGAGCTTGTGTGAATCCGAAATCTCCTAGAAATAGTTCCAGAAAACACCTTGCAGGACATACTGCAGGTGTAATGCAAACACTACGCCATTTTACATTATGCTACTTCAAAAAGTTTGTGGGAAAATGGATTAAAAGCATGTGTTCATTTGATTTTCTTAGTTGAAGTATGTTAAAGTAACAAATTACATATTTATTCAGCATCAACAGAAATGGGTATCAGCATAAATCTACTAGCACTGCCTAACAGGAGCACACACCTGTTCTGACTGCGACATCTATTTCTGATGAACTACAGTGTTGAGGAACTTAAACACCACCAGCCCGACATACCTCCAGTAAAGGGAAGAGATCTTTATCTTCGTCCTTCAGCATATTCCATTTCTGAATCAGAGGCGGCATTAACATCTGAATATATTCCTATTTATAAGGATGAAAAACCATAAAGCTCCACTATCACAAGAAGCATGTCCACTTGGAATCTATGACAATTGAAACCCACTTAAAGCAACTCTGTAACATTACAGAAGGCACTTTAAGGTTCATTCTTTGCTCTACATAGTCCTGTCAAAAATTCTTTTTAATTAAGAAACATTGCTTTAAGTAATACCCTTTTTTTGCAGCAATATAAATATATATATTCATGTGTGTGTATATTAATATGTGCATGGGCATATCAGAATATATTCCTTGATTGACAAAAAAAGTCCTCTATGCATTTTACTCTCCTGTGAGTCCTGGGGCCTGTGTCATGTTATAAAAATTACAAACTGTTAAGCAGAAAGAGAGATTTGCAACCATCTAAGTGTCCCCACTCAAACTGAATAATGAGCCAAGTAAATAAGTTCACTAATCATGAAAACAGAATAAACTCTTAAAAACAAAAAACCCACCCCAAAAGAAAACCAATTAAATTCACTAGCACCAAAGAAGTAAAAAAAAGCCACTGCATCACACCAAACTTCTGGTTAACTGAAAATCAAAAGACAACATACTTCCGACTGTTACTGAACAAGTCCAACCCATTAATTCCAATTTCCAATTCCTTTAACTAGTGCGCTTTCCTATGTTGTGTGTTTTTGTAGCAAAAGCAAATTTAGATGGGATATTCTAAAGTTACAATGTTCACACTGAATTCGAAGCTCCTGGTTTCAACCTCTCTTTCAGATAAACAACAGCCCCCCACCCAAATTCCAGAGACGGAAGGACAAACACTGGGGCATCCATGCGTTTTCCACAAAGCCCACAGTGATATCTGCGGCACTACCTGAAAAGGGGGATGTACCTGCTGCCTTTCACATGTGAGAAAAAAAAAAACCCTATTTCCAAATATTGACAAACATTCTCCATTTCTTTTCCAAAATAACTGATCAACAGATACTTACTGGTTTGTTTAAATGATGTCCTACGGAATCGGCTAATGTTCCTATGGCATCGTAAAGAATGAGCAGGTTCTTATGCTGGTATTTACTAAATGCGAAGACCAGAGTATCAAGTATATAAGCAAGGTAAGGAACAAGCTCTGTACACGCCTCCTCTTCCAGGGTAGCAAAGGCACTGTCATTTTAAAAGAGAACAAGTCTTTATTATATTAGAGAAATAACATCGACAACAGACAAGACACTGTCAAATTCACAGTATTCTTGTGACACGCCCACCTCCTTCTCTTATTGCATGCAAACTGATTTTCATTAGTCTATTCTCATTTCACTCCTTCCTTTCCAAGAGGTTGTTACTCACTGGCTTTGCTCAACTCCAAAGGGAAATTTATAAGACTATAAAGGTTATTAGCTCATATTTAATAAGTTTATCTGCTGCTGTCACAACGAATCAAGCAATCTCATTTTCAGGAAGCTACTCTGCAACTCTTTGAAATTAATAAAATCTACAATTGAAACTGAAGCTCTACTTTACACTTGAGCCTTCACGGACACACATTCTAGCGCTCCGTGCTCCAAATGTGGCAGAGCGTGGAGGCGCGTAACCAGGCTGTAAGCATGAAGACGGAGTTAAGTCCAGCACTGACTGTGCGTGCAACTATTACGAATTTCAAAATGTGCTGAATTAATTACAAGAACCTAAACAAAATTAATCATCACAGCCCATTTGTTCAACTTTCTTTCATTTCGTTAGGATTCAGAATTAACTCCACCAATTACTGCTTCAGATCTTGTAAGGTTCAACTCAATTTTACTTTCCTTTTCTCAGCAGCAGTTTCATCCTATTCAAAGGGGTCAGTAGTAAAGGAACCCTACTCGATACCCAAGAGCTATAAACATACATGGCAAGCCCTACTGGATCTTAAGTGTGTTCCAGGGGGGCCCGGCTTGAAGGTTCAACTGGCTAATCCTCCCTCTGCCAGCACTGGAAACCCATATGGGTACTGGATCATATCCCGGCTGCTCCACTTCCCATTCAGCTCCCTGCTTGTGTCCTGGGAAAGCAGCTGAGCACGGCCCAAAGCCTTGGGACCCTGCACCCACGTGGGAAAAGGCTCCTGGCTTCAGATCGACAGAGCTCCAGTTGTTGCGACCATACAAACCAGTGGACAGATCTTTCTATAAATCTACCTTTCTGATAAAAATAAATCTTAGGAAACAAAAAAAAAGCTTGTTCCTGGAAGATGGAAACATCTTTAATAATGCAAGTCTAGTACAAGAGTCCAACAAGTAATGGTACTAGAACAGAACTATATCCATGAATAGGTATCTGCCAAAAGATTTATTTTTATTATTATTTAAAAAATTATTGTTTTTATTGTTCATGATTTTTACATAGTTGATTAGGGGCAAGGGCTACAGGAGGAGGGTGAAACAAGGAGAGAAGCCACATCCAGCCTCCCAAATGCCTCTGCACCCTGGGATGGAGGGCAGCCACCCGACAGCACCCCAGGGCCCCCGATGTGGGGCATGCTTCGAGCAGGAGCCATACCATGGCTTCAGATCACTGATAGAATTAAAAGGTAATTCTGAAGTCATGGCAGTTATTGAGAAAGGAAAGCAAAGAACCAAGTCTCCTGAGGGTCCCATTTAGATGTACAGAAGTGGGGTGGGCACTGGGCCTGGTGGCCAAAATTCTGGCTGGATGCCCACAGCCTTCCAGCTCCGGCTCCAGTCACCAACGTGGGAGACCTGGAATGGGTGTTGGGCCCCCGGCTTAGACGCAGCGCAGAACTAACCATTGAAGGGAAAACAAGTGCTTTCGAACTACTACCACAAAAACAAAAACCAAATACCTCTGACAATGCCCCCGGCCACCCGTACCAAGCAGAAGCAAAGAAAACTAAATTGTGTGACACAGCCAGAACTAGCACTCCATCTGTGGTTTGAGAACAACACTCCGACTGAGTTACCCACAGCACAATGACTCTTACTGGAGGGACCAGCCCACCTGCAGGCAGCTTCCTGGACTCTCTTGTTGCTGTCCAGGATGCGCTTGAGCAATTCTGTCATTAATGGCTTCAGGTATGTGTCTGGCGGCTGGCTGACTACCCAGTGTGCATAGCGGCTAAGAGTCCAGCACGTTATGGACCGCACGAGAGCCTTTTTATCGGAGAGGCACTGGATAAGGTGAGGGATGAGCTCAGGGAGATAGGGAATCATGCCTTGCATGCAGCCTGGAAAACACAAAATGACAGAAATGTTCGTTTGAAAGGCTTTGAAAAATTTGATTAACACAAAATTATTGCAGTTGAATCCTAAAACTAATGCAGGTGGCCATGAAAAATGTCAGTACAGTCTACTGTATTACTACTGTAACAATATGTACCAGAATTACTAACCAACTGAACTTAGAGCTCGGTATCCTACAGCAGGGCCAGGACACCATTTCAGCAACTGTAGCTCACAGAAGTGCCTGCAAAAGGTTTCAACTGCTTGCTGCTGGCTGTTTGCAGCCAGTACAGAATGAATGATAACCTTAACAAACATGAAGATACTTTGTCTCTATTCATGCTTCCTGTACATAATGAGAAGATCCTTCTAACTGTAACTTCAAACAAACAAACAACATTAAAAAAAAAAATCATATATATAGGGCTGGGCATGGTAGCCTAGTGGCTAAAGTCCTCGCCTTGCACGCATAGGGATCCTATATGAAAGGTTCGTGTCCCAGCTGCTCCACTTCCCATCCAGCTCCCTGCCTGTGGCCTGGGAAAGCAGTCGAGGACGGCCCAAAGCCTTGGGACCCTGCACCTGCATAGGAGACCCAGAGAAGCTCCTGGCTTTGGATTGGCTCAGCTCTAGCCATTGCGGCCATTTGGAGAGTGAACCATCGGATGAAAGATCTTCCTCTCTGTATCGCCTTCTGTATGTATGACTTTCCAATAAAGGCAAATAAATCTTCAAAAAAAAAAATCATACGTATAATAAAGTAACAATCTTTGTCTATGAGGTAATAACAACTCCTAAAGGAAAACCAGTCTGAGTGCAATTCCACCCGGCCTTACCTTCAGCAATTGCTCCTAAAACCAAGATGCCTGATTCTTTAACAACCCATTCATGATGGAAGAGTAATTCTTTCAAAAGGGGCAGAATGTGTGGCAGCAGCTCATCACGATACACGTTGGCAAGAACATCCAGGGCGGCGGCAGAGCATTTTCCTAAGGAAAGATTGAATTAGATCATGTCACCAACTTCCATCATAATGTTCCATTCTAAATGAGGTACTTGTGTATACATATGATGCTTTCTTAATACCTCTACGGAGTTTCAAAGCAAGAATAAAACAGAAGGTAAGTCTGTTACATGGAAAGTTCTATTAAAAAGAATATATAATTTTTTAGGACAAAGGCAGCAAATTAATCACTACGACAAGTCTATTCCATACATGACTGTAATACTAAAAATTCTTCATTTTTATGGAAAAGACAAACACTGTTGCACTTAACTCACTGCTTCCAGATCATGACGCCCACCGTTCCAAGTCCTTGGCCTAGTGCTGGCTCATCAGGCACCCTAATCACTTAGAGTTATTAGAAATTCCAACATTTAAGTAGTGGCTCTTAATTGGGTGTTCCCCAGAGGCTATCCGGCAAGGTCTGGAGACATTTGGTTGTTAAATTGTGTGTGCACGGCAGCATCTTTGAGGTCCATCCCCTATAACCACCAACTACACAACCCAAAATGCTGAGGTCAGAAACTCAAACTACAGGAGTGGGGCTTCAAGTCAGAGCAGAGTAAGAATGCAGCCCAAGGGTGTGGGGTTCTCCCAGGGTGACACAAAATGGCAGCTCCATGGCTAATGTGGATCGGTAGCTAAGACTGAAACTCACAGTTCTCTAAGTTTATTTCCTATATTTTCAGTGTGACAAGATAATTTATATTATTTTACAATCATAAGTTATCATCAGTCAATTTTCCAGCAAATTATCACACATAAAAGTTTAGGGAAAATCTGACAATGTTTTCATTTCATAGTACCAAAACACACAACTTGTGAGAAACAATTTGAGGTGAGAAGCCGTTTTGAAGAACTCCATGATGATGCCCCTCAGGGATATACAAGCCCCGATACAATGAAGTACCCCTTCACATCCACTCAGACTGCCCAAAATGGAGCAAGAAGTGGCACTGAGCGCATGGACCTGCAGCCCTCAGACACCGGACGCCAGCCCTGTGGACAGCACCCTGGCCGCTCTGAGTGAGCAGTCACTACGTTGTGGCTCGTCGCACTCCGTAATGTGCATGCTGAGGTACTGAACACACGTCCACCCACACTCAAAGCATCACCCACATCCACCGACTGATGACTGCGTGTACTTACAAACCAGAAACGAAATGTTCCTATTATGCAATCCTGTTTCATAATATTGAAAATTCGATGTCATGGACAGACCATGCAAACATTTTGCTAAGCCAAAGCAGCCATTCACAAAGGTCTATGTATTTTATGATTCCAATTCTATCAATTCTACCCAGAGGTCTGGTACAATGGCTCAAACAGGTAATCCTTCCCCTTTAAGCGCCAGGACCCCACATGGGTGTCGGTTCATGTACTGGATGCTCTACTTCCCATCCAGCTACCTGCTTGTGGCTGGGAGAGCAGTAGAGGATGGGCCAGTGCCTTGGGACCCTGTATCCATGTGGGATACCTGGAAGAAGCACCCGGCTCCTTACTTAGGATGGCCTCAGCTCTGGTCATTGGGGGAGTGATGGAAGATCTTTCTTTTTCAAATTTGCCTTTCCAATAAGAATAAATAAATCTTTAAAACAATCGTAAGAGTCTAAAGTCAGCCAATCCAAAAACAGACCACACACTGATAGTGGCCTAGGGCTGCAGGAGAATGGTTGGTGAAAAAGAAAAAAAAGTTCCAATATTGATTAGAGTGCCGGCTGGACACATCTGGGAACATACTACACACCACTGACGCGCACAGAAGGTGAACCGTAGCTCCATGAAGTTATCAGAAGAGCCGATGGTATCCCCTCTCGAGACTTACTCAGATTCCAGTCAGAAATGGTGTCGTCGTCATCAATCTCATCGTCCTCGTCGTCGTCCTCCTCGATGCCATCCTCCTCGTGCTGCTGAGCCACGGTCCTGGACCGATGGAAGCGTGGCCTTATGTCCTGCTCGCTGTCAGGAATTGTCTCATCTTCTTCAACATCACCCTGCAATTTGTTTTTATTTTTTTGGGGAAAGGGGAGACATTAGTAGCTCATAGTACATACGCGGGTATATACACTATCCAAATACCCAGAAATAGAGCTGTGCTGCATTCAGAAATTCATTTCCTGATTAAGAATCACTCCTTTTGTAAACTTTCATGGAGGGCAGCTAAGTAACACCTGCCAGGGTCATGGGGACAAGTTCACTATGCTGCCTCCCGAGCGTGTATGAAATCAAACAGAGATCAGCGTATTTAAGATGTGGTACTTTGCAATGAAACCTCTGCACTCTAGTATATATAATAGGAAGCCTACTTCTATAACAACTATTCTTTTTTAAAAAAGTTAAAATTTGAAAGAGACAGACAGACAGAATCTCCACCCAGTGGTTTCCTTCCCAGAGACCTGCAAAGGCCAGGGCTGGGCCAGCCCGAAGCCAGAGCCCAATGTGAATATCTTATGTAAGTGGCAGGGATCCAACTACTTGGTCATCAGATTAGGGGTAAGGGGCCTCTACAAAGTCTACATGTTTATTGCTCAATCCCAAAGACTCACCAAGTGAACAGGTCTCCTTACCTTAAGAAGGATAATGTCAATATCTGAGTACTTCATGCCATTCACCAACACAGGAATCAACCTATCAAGAAATCAACACTTGACATCAAGATTTATGCTTCAACAAAATTCAACAAACTTATGCAGACTAAGACAACCACCAGTTAACAGCTTCTGGGCACACCTCAGACCCCTCCCCCCATGAGCTGCAGGGACAGCGACAGACAGAAGGCAGCAATGGGATTCCCAATGCCCTGGTGCAGTCTAAGGAATGCCAGCAATGCTCCAAGTTCTTCTGAATCCACAAACGCCAAGAGTAACAATAATTAAGCACTACTGTACTTGAGAAGACTGCACAAAGTTTGTGGGAAAAGTAGTTCAAAGTTTACTTTGGTGCAATAGTTTTGAAAGCCATGCCATTGTTTTATAATGCATTTTCCATAAATATTTTGAAAACCTCTAGTAAGCATGGAGTTCAACTTTATTTTTGCACCAAATATTTTGTCAGATGTTTATTTTCATCTACTAGAAAGGCAGAGAGAGAGAGAGCGAGAGAGAGAGAGAGAGAGCGAGCACGAGAGTACTGTTCCACCTGCTGCTTCACTTCACAAACACCCACCTGATCAGGTCAAAGTCGGGGGGGACTGAACTCAGTCTGGGGTTCCCTCACGTGGCAGGGGCAAAGAACGCCAGACATCATCTGCCGCTTTCCCGAGTAACGGAGAGTCCAGGTACTCCCATGCGGGGTATGGGATCTCAAATGGCTGCTTAACTCACTGTGCCACAGTACCTGTCCCCCAAATCAAACTTGTAATCTCATTCTCTGTGGACACTGCTCCCACTGAACATAAACAAGATGCACAGAACACAGAACCAGGTCTCTCTGGACTCTGACAGTTAAACCACTGATGATCTTTGCCAACGATTTCAGAGAAACACTGGAGACAGGTCTGAGACTGAAAAATTTTACATACTTGGCAAGAACTGATCTAAAGAAAAGGCAGACTGCAGCCTCATCTACTTCTTGAATTTTAAGACATCAGAAATTGCAGGAAGTTAACAAGTTAGGCAAAGACGGTGCAACAGAAAAAAGCTGGAACAGAGACTACTGTCTGATTAAATCTCTAGGGACAAGGAAAAAAAAAAAAAAAAACCACAGTCTAGACCATAAACAGAAAGAATGGCTGAGGAGAATGCAACTCATGAAAATGTATCTGAGTGTTGGGACAGGACAAAGGGTCACCTGCTTTGTCTACAAAGTAGAAGTGCTCAAAGTGAAGAACTCCCCGGGGCTGAGAGAGGCATGCACACAGAAAGCCTGTCTGGAGCAAACACTGGTACACAGCAGGAAGGGGCCACCTGCTGAGGAAGACTAGATTTGCACAGTCACTAACCCAGTGTAATTCTCCCTAAATACCGGAAAGGTCCGTTTTAGCAGCAGAGGAGGAAAACAGTCCAGCTGATGCCGAGTAGGGGAGACACAGGCCAGTCGGTAGGTTCACCTGTGCTCACGTTTGCTACAGGAAGCGTGAATGTGACATCAGGAGAGCACAAGGAAATGGTTGGTAAGGTCTGCCAGGAACCAGAGCCTGGTCAAGTCCAGTGAATAGGAACAAGAGGCTGCCAAATGAGTCATGGGTACGACTGTGCCCGCGTGGCACTCAGGGACGCCTGACTGAGTCTCACCAAGCCAGGCAGATCACCATTTCTGAATATGTCTGACAGAAAGGGACCCTCTTGTGAAATTTGTTTTAATGCAAGAGTTAAATACCAATAACCAATTCTAATGAATAGTTAAACATGCAGCAGATACTGGGTTGCCTTCCATGGGTAACTCAAAGCTCTAGGTTATGGCAACAAATTATTTCCCAAATGCCCTGAATGTGTGTATATGAAATACAGTACTTACACAGGAAAAAAAAAAATCCATAAAAACCAACAGAAATAAGACACTGAAAGTTTACACAATGGTGACAAAAAATAATTTCTACATTTTCCCCATGAAGAAATTTTATTCCCCCAAAAAGGTAAGCTTAGATTTAACTTCAAACTTCACTAGAGTCCAGTGTCAAATTCAAGACTATAATTTAGAATAAACCATCCCCATATGGTTTTAAAAAATATTAATTACTTATTTTAAAATGCCTTTGCCCGTAACAAACAGCAAAATGAAGCCTGGCTTCATTAGAAGGCGATTCCTTGATGCTAAAAGAATTGATTTTGTGAAAACCCAATGGAGAGGACAGGCTGCTATGAGAGAAGAAGGCAGCTTTACCGGCCAGGGCACTTACTTAGGGAGATGCCTCACAAGCACATCTTTGCATATGGGCTGCTCAGCTAGAGTGAGCCAAAATTCACAGGCTTCTAACGCCACGTTTTCATCTTGATCTTGGGTCCGCTGTAGCATGTACTGCAAGCAAACAATTCTTAATATTAACCAGTTTAAAGTCACACAATTACTTTCCATCTCAATCCTGCATTATTATGCTTTTGCAATTTTTATGATTCTTTTTTTTTCTTTAAAGATTACATGTGTGCAGGATCCCAAGGCATTGGGCCATCCTCCACTGCTTTCCCAGTCCACAAGCAGGGAGCTGAATAGGAAGTGGAGCAGTCAGGACACAAACTGGCACCCACATGAGGTCCCAGCACTGGTAAGGAGAGGATTAGCCAATTGAGCCACCGCACCAAGCCCCATTGATTCTTAACTATACACTTAGGTATTAAAACAAAACCCCAAAATGAGTAAACTGCAGCTAAATCTAAGAACCACTGCTGTAGAACGTTGTCCAATTAAAAGTGTTCAGTACATGCATTATTTATGAAAGTATTATTTGAAGTGTATTTCATGAAATCACTTTTGAAGTGTATTAATAATGAAGTATTAAATCTTAGATAAAGACAACTTTATAATACCTTTCTTAAAAAATAATTGCTATTTTTATAAAACAGGCATTAAAAGCTGACTCTTTTATGTCCATTTTCACATAAAGTGATATATAATACTAAAATTACAGAATTGGTTATGTTGCAAAGCAGTAGTGATGTGTCTTAGCATGACTGTGGTTTGTAGCTTTCCACAAAGCATGCTTACTACATCTTGTAAATTTATGAAGCTACAATCAGTGTGATTTCATACCCTGGGCTGAAATTGGGGTCAACTGATCAATTCCTTACAAAATATCCTGAACTGGAATGTTTCATGTGACATGATACGGCAACACAACAGATGTTCCAGGCCAGCCCCTAATCACACGCTGTCTTACCCCTTTGCTTTTGAACACTGCTGAAAAAAGAAACTGGCATTGTGAATTAAGATTCTAACTCTCCCCTAGCAATCGATACAACTTCTTAATTTTCTGGTTAACTACAAGCTTTCAACACTTTCCACAAATCCCACTTATTTGTTTCGAGAGAAAGGGCCCTTAGTGAAAATGGCACGTAGGCTGCTCTGTCTCCACACTACCCCGCCAATGCCTAACAGCACTTACACCAGCTAGCTGTTCAAATCCACAGCTTCCTCCTCTCATAAAACAAAATCACCATTAAGACAGTTATAATGCTTTCTTTAGGCCCTTAATTAGCAATATGAGATATGTGTTCAAGTTCTTCTCAGGGGAATCAGAGGCAGGAGTTTTTAAGTTGTGTTACCTCGACTATGTTGTGCATGTGAGGGAGCAGGCGATCCATTCGCACTTCCAGCAGCATCACCAGGGCCCGGCACACGTTCTTCCGTACCTCTGGCTCTTCGTCACCAGCCAAGGCGAAGAGATTCTATTGCAAAAGAAATACATTGCTTTGTAGTTTTAAAATTTCAATACTAGAAAGACCTACAAACATTAACGTATAATCTCCAAGTTGATGACATTTAAAGAAACCCTAAGAGATAAAGGGCTGAATTAATTGGCCTACAATCTTTGATTATATATATGAAGCAACACAGGTAAGGAATAAATGCTAAAGATTATATTTTTGATTAAAGATGAAAAGCCATTCTTCCCGATACAGTTAAATAGGTTGTGTTTTGAGGCAATTTTCAATTTTAAAGAATGAAACCATGTCATCCAGACACAGGGGCAATTACCCAGCTTCTCTGGAAGCATAGTGACACAAGGTGCTCTAGCCTTGAGGAGCATGGTCTGGAAAGACGCAGGCTCAGGTTCCGGGAAAGCACTCCCAGCTGGGAGATGAGCAGTGAGTGCTGCTGTGCACCAGGTCAGCCCCTTCAGAAAGAAGTATTAGCCGCATGCTGAACCCAAGTCTGCAGCAAGAAGTCGGGTACGAGCGGGCCCGGGGGGACGCATCAGGTCGACTCCAGCCAGCACGCAGTCTCCTGCAGAGGCTGCAAGCAAGCTCGGGAGAAAACAAGACCACAAAACCTTCCTCACTTCACTCCCAAATCCCATTTTATTTAGATACCCACATACACATGCGTACCTTAAAAGCAGCAAAAAGCTCATTAAAGAATAAGTAATATCCAGTGCGTCCCAATGCCCTTTTCCAGGAAATCACAGAAATGTCTCCAAAATGCTACTGGAAATCTTACCACAAGAAAGACATGGGAGAAGTTCAATGATTAAAAATAGCAATATGTGAAGCAGCATCGCAGCATTTGGGAAACTTGTGCTTTTTCCTGCAAGTTTTGCCTCTACAGTGGACAGTCTCCTATGCTTCAGGTAAGCAGGTGTTTACATGGCAGAGAAGAAAACTTTCAACAGCAGGCATTACTTTACATATTAGACATGGGGTTCACACTGTATTCACTGGGAGGAGGCCCACTGCCATTACCCTGCACTGGCCCTGGTTACCATTCCAGTCCCATGTGTGACAGGAAGGCATTCATAACCAACACACTTTTCATCAGTGTTCTGTCATACTTAGCACATAGAACCCCCGTGGATCATTGGTAACAAGGAAATAATTAGTCCAGTAAATTACTATTGAGGACCTTGTGCGTGTCAGACACTTCCTCTAGGGGGTCTACAACCCCGTGGGAAGGAGACCAGGATCAAGCTTGCGGAATCATCAAATAGTAAAATCAATAAATAAACAAACAAATAAAAATTACCCGGTGAGCATAGTCTTGTGGAATTTTGTTTTTAGAGAACTTAAAAAATAAGCTTTATTTCCTTGTAAGACATTGATACACCTGCCATTCTTCTTTCTATTAAGCTATGAAAAGGATGTAAAAAAAAGCCAGGACTGTAATATTATAACTACTATTACTTCCATCACGATTACTTACAACATGAAGTACTTATTTCACGGCATGGGTTTTCCCGATTTACTGAAGCAGTTAGCTTTACTATCCAACAGGGTAAACTAGGGATTAGATCAAGTGACAAACTACAGAGCATCAGTTAAATCAACAAAAATGCCCACGCATGGTCTGGCGCATAGCCTAGCGGCTGAAGTCCTCGCCTTGCATGCACGGGATCCCATATGGCTGCCGACTCATGTCCCAGCGGCCCCGCTTCCCATCCAGCTCTCTGCTTGTGGCCTGGGAAAGCAGTCGACCTACTAGGCCCAAAACACAGGAGATCCAGAGAAGCTCATGGCTTCTGGCTCCAGATTGGTTTAGCTCTGACAACTGTGGCCACTAGGGGAGTGAATCAGGAGACAGAAGATTTTTAAAGTAAGCAGCAGTCTTACTCTAAGCTGATTATATTGAACACTATACCCCACCACCTCTGATCCCAACAAGACTAAAAATACCTTGTAGAAGTAAAACCAATGTAGCCCAGCATCAAGTACACAGCCTGACTCATAGGAGGGATTCCAAGAAAGTAAATACATATATATATATATATTAAAGATTTATTTTTATTGGAAAGGCGATATACAGAGAGGAGGAGAGACAGAGAGCAAGATCTTCCGTCCGATGGGTCATTCCCCAAGTGGCCGCAATGGCTGGAGGCGAGCCAATCTGAAGCCAGGAGCCAAGAGCTCTTCTGGGTCTCCCATGTGGGTGCAGGGTCCCAAGGCATTGGGCCGTCCTCAACTGCTTTCCCAGGCCACTACACTATCATGCCGGTCCCGAAAGTATATATTTTGATTTGAACTTACTAAAAAATGTCTATAGGATCTTTATCTTAGTCTGTCTTCCTACTTGTTTTTTTTCTGGACACCTCTAGTTTGAGGAAACCCATTAGTATGAAAGCAGAGACATCACTGCTTAGACGTGTTCTGAGACACTGCCTGTTTGGAGGTGTCAACAGAACACACTCACAAAAAGCTAAGCTAAGTGGTGCACCTGCTACAGCCACAGGCTCTCTGGAGCCACTGTCACGTGTGGTCTGTCCCTGATGGAAACAGGGATTGCACCACCTCTTTTTTTAGTCTTTGCCTCCTGATTCTTTATGGAGTAACTTCCTCCAACCTCATCATTTTCCATTTTCAAATACTACAAGTAAGTCAGACGATTCAGTTTCTATATGTGATTTAAATAGCACAGCAAGAGATTATTTTAATAGCAGGTATATACTAAACACCTTCAAACCATCCAAATGAATGCTTATTATATAAGTAAGAAAATTACCAACAGTCTTTTATTTTCAGCCAATGCTGTGCCCAATGTTAACGCTATCAGAAGTAATTTAATATTGACAGTACGCAATAGTCACAAAATAAATCCAATAGAGCAGGTATTATTTAAGCTTTTCAAAAACAAAATGAGAGCAAATCTTACCTCAATGAAAGCATCAATGTGCAGCATGAGAGCCTGGGTCCGACTGATGATAAACTGATTGACACACGCAACGGCATGAGACCTACAAACAAAGTTTAAAGTGTAACATACACCCATGGGGCCTTTTTTGTCTACAGAAGACCGGTAAGAATGTAAATATTCATTCATAAAATCACGGTATACACAGATCAATATGTACATACATGCACTAAAAGAAATCAGTCAAATCTCTGTGTCTCAACAGAGACAGGAAGTGAATGAGAAAGTGAGAGAAGAGGCACAGAACAACACTATACCTTAGTCTAAGTAGGTGAACAGTGGCTGAAAGGGAATGTGCGAATGTTTAATGGTACATCTCTGTAAAGAGCAAGAACTTGGTACATGGGCACAATTTATTTCCTACACCTACAGAATTTAAAATAGTGTTCTGGCACATACACGATTCAATCTTCCGGCAACTTTTCTGGGTCTACACTCATTTTCCATTGCTTACCTTTCTTCCCTAATCCGAGTAGCTAAACTATCTGGAAACTCATCTGGTGTGCTGCATACTGTCTACCACCCATAGCAGCAGAATCCCAGAATCCCCCAACACCATCAGGGGAAATCAAGTGAATAGAGTAAGTCATGCAATGGGATACCACACGGTCAAAACAAATGAGCCACAGTGATACAATGCGGATGAATCTTACAGACACTAAATAGTCACTGAAGATTTTTAAATAGAATTTGCATATATTAACAAGGAAAAAAAGTGAAGAAAATGCAAGGAAAGGATAAAGTTGAGATTCACATATAAAACCACATGCGGGGGCTGGTGTTGGGACATAGCAGGTCTAAGGTGGCCATCTGTGATGGGCACCAGTGTATCCTGGCTGCCCCATTTCTGACCCAGCTCCCCGCTAACAGCCTGGAAGATGCAGTGGAAGATGGCTCACGTGTTGGAGCCCTGCCACTCACGTCCAAGACCGGGATGAAGCTTTTGGCTTCAGCCGGCTCTGGCCCTGGCCATCGCCACCATGTGTGGAGTGAACCAGTGGATGGCTGTTTTGTGTCACTGATTTTTATTAAATAAATCTTAAAAACAAAACCAAAAACCCCACATTTTAATTGCTTTTCTGTATAAATGCCAACAGTTACTGTGAGGAACAAAACCACTTAAAAGTAGATGGCAAGCATGAGTTACACTGTGTTAATAAGGCATCATATAGGCAACGATATAAACATGGAAATGTTTGGGGAAATATCAAAATGAACGGCAAAGTCATTCTCTCAAATATACATTTAAAAGAAAAGTGAATGAGAATAAAATATACAACAGTTCGGTAGGACATTACATCAACTCAGCATTTACCACTGAATGTTATCTTGTTTAAGTTTCAACAAAATGATCCCCTACAAAGTTCTCAAGGATATTTACTAAAATTCACATTTAGCAGTGGGGCTACCAATTATATCAATGTTCAGGAATATGTTTTTGGATTTTTCTGTCTTAACTGCTGAGAAAGTGTCACAAAAAAAGTCAACTTCCTAGAAGCGAAGTATGAAACCTCCACACAGTCATCACCAGAGTTAAAGAAGGAGAACTGGGGAATATGAACTTAAACCTTGCTAATGCCAGGAACAATTATATTCTATTTTGAAAGCATACGATTTGAACGCATCATTAAACATTTCTACTCTAAGTACAACATAATTAACTGCTACTTAAAATTTTTCATTTTAATAGAATTTAAGCAAGAAACACCTATTCCTGATTGCCCTCTGGCTACACTGCTGAAACTGTGATCCCATTGGATAGAGCTTAACATATGGCAATAAACTCCCATGGGACCAAGGTCCCCTCATGGATTCCTGCCTTACTGGAGGCTTCTCTGCAGAAACCCATGCAGCACTGACAACTGCAAGCAACAGAAACCCAAGCATTAACATGCACAAGACAGAACAAGGACATCCAGACACGAGTGAGGAGTTCACCTCACAGCTGCATTGAGGACAGCCAGACTGCAGACCGACAGGACCACTGATGATGGTAGGTCGAAGGCTAACATACTACACAATGTCGCAGTTATCTCAACACTCTTCTAGCAGCTAGGAAAACAGAAAGCAATAGAGCAAACCAGGCTCATTTCAGGGATGCTCAAAAGTCCTTACACTGGGCCTGGCACAATGGCTCAATGAGCTAATCCTCTCCCTTCAAGCATTGGAATCCCCTATGGGTGCCAGTTCATGTTCTGGCAGCTCCACTTCCCTTCCAGCTCCCTGCTTGTGGCCTGGGAAAGCAGTCGAGGATGGCCCAAAGCCTTGGGACCCTGCACCCTCATGGGAGACCAAGAAGAAATTCCTGGCTCCTGACTTTGGATGGGCTCAGCTTCAGCTGTTGTGGCCATTTGGGGAGTGGACCAACGGATTAAAGATTTTTGTCTCTTGTCTCTTTAAATCTACCTTTCCCATAAAAAAAGTCCTTCCATGTACATGATAAAACAACTTTTTCATAATCAGATAAAAACTCTTCGGTTAAAAGTACTTGCTTCAAATATTCTGAGATTCAATCAGTCCATTAATCACAGGATGGAGAAAGCAGAGAACAAGCTTTTACGGGATTAAACACGGGACAGACTGGAAAGAGAATGCTACTTGAGGGTATACTGTCAAAAGTTCTGAAAAGCGGAACTTGATTAACTTTAGTGAAAATAATTTCAAAGTTCTTACAAAAAGATGTCCTTGAAGAGTTCATGGAAACTACAAATGAAAAAACTATGCATGGATGTTAATTTTTATCATCAAAATAAAATTCTTTTTAATTTCATTTTTACATACACAAATTTTTAAAAAGGATTTATTTGAAAGAGTTACAGATGGGGTTGGTGGCTAAGGGAGACACAAACTGTTTATCCTCCAGTTCACTCCCCAAAGGGCCACACTAGCCGGGGCTGGAACAGGCAGAAACTAGGAAGTAGGAGCTTCTTCTGATTTCCAACCCCAAAACAAGCGAGTAAATGTGTTCTGCAGGTACAGATCAAGTCCTGGCTGCGCTACTTCTGATCTGGGGCACTAGGGAAGCAGCAGCGGATGGCCCACATGGTTTGGCACCTGCACCCACAGGAGCGACCCAGAAGAAGCTCCTGGCTCCTGGATTTGGACCAGTCTAGCCCCAGCTGCTGTAGCCACCTGGGAAGTGAACTAACAGATGGCAGATCTTTCTGTTACTCTGCGTTTCAAACAAATCCTTAAAAAAAGAAAATTTACTTGAAAGGGAGGGAGGGAGAGGAAGAGGGAAAGGGAGGGAAGAAAGGGGAGAGAGGGAGGGAGGATGAGAGAGAGAGAGAGAGAGAGAGAGAGAGAAGGAGGATAAGAGAAAGAGAGGGAGGGGGAGAGAGAAGACCGTGCAGCTGCTGATTGACACCCCCAATAGCCACAGCATCTACAGCTAGGTCATGACGAATCTAGGATCCAGAAACTCCACCCGAGTTTGCCATGTGTGGCCCACCTTCCATGTCATCAACAGGAAGCCAGGCTGAGGCACAGCAGCTGGGTCTCCCAACACTGCAAATGGTTGCTTAGCCCTGTCTTAACACTGGCTCCTCTGTAAACTTTCTGAAGTATCTTCAAATGCTTAAAAAGCACAAAAACTCACAATCTTACAGCTGATAATCCTGTCCTGCTCCAACAGATAGGCATATACATCTGTTTTACTGGAGGAACTTTGATTACATAGCCACAAAGGAAGGTGTCCGAACTTGGCAAGGTTGGCAACTGAAGGAGGTAGAGAATTACATCATAGGCGAAATAATATTTCATGAGTAGTGACTAAAGCAGTAAAATTTCAATTCACCTTTGTAAAACATCGTATTAGGAAACGCCACTCCAGCGGCAGCTAGGCTCACATCAAAGCTTATAAATCAGTGCTAACTAACATTACCTGATTTTGGGGCTGCTATGCTTGAAGAACTGTAAGAATTTGGGAATCATGATGTTGAGAGGACGATCTAGAACATCACTATCTAAAATCTCGGCCGAATCTTCACATATCTTCTGAAGGGCACCGAACGCTCCCTGGAAGAAACAGCCCAAGTCATGACAAACGGAGACATTTAAGAGCAACATACGGACTAATGTATCACATTTTTGAAGATGGCCTAACCTAACCTCCAAATCTCATTCTTACACAGCTGTGTCATCAAATCGGTCTCTGGTTAAATTCACACAGAAGTCTATTTAACCATTTCACTGCCTGGTTTCATCAGCAGTGATCCGGTGCTTATTCTTGCTGGTTCAATTTAATGTCCACAAGGTCAAGTTCTTGAAGGACTCTCAGATGTCCTTTTCAGGTTTACGGCACATGAAAATGTTACATAGTTGAAAATGTACTTGTCAGGTTCAAAGGACTACCAGAGACTATTATTGGTTCTTTAAGAAACATTTTTATTTCTCAGACTGTTGAACTGAAATCAAACGTCACCTTGTTACCTATGACAAAAACAAAACAAGAAAGCACCTGCTTAACCTCTGCCCTTTGACGGTTCCCATCATACTAGCACACTGCGCGCATGGGAGCCACTAGAGGATGGCTGCTCTTCTTCAGACTTCCTGTAACCTTGCTTCCCAAGGCACTACTGTGCCAGTATGAAGGATGGCCTTTCTTTTCCCTCTGAGGGAGAGAGACAAGTGGTTTTATAAACAACACTATGCTGATGACTCTCCCTCTCCTAGCTCCTCTTCCTGCTTCCCCCTCCCCAGGACATGCCAGGTAATGAAGCGCCGAGTCCTAAGACTGCAAGGTTGTTCCTGGGCCTCCTCTGCTTCCCAGACCTGCTCTGCTGTGAAAGGGGGGGGGACTCACTGCTATGCAGTCACACAGCTACGATGGTCTTCACCTTCGTGCAGCATTTCAGTAGATTCAGTCTAACTTTAAAGATACCACAGTGGCTGCTACCCACAGTGGTGTAGCCAGCTAATCCTCTACCTGTGGTGCTGGCATCCCAGACGGGTGCCAATTCATGTACAGGCTGCTCCATTTTTGATCCAACTTCTGTTAATGCACCTGGGAAGGCAGCAGAGGATGGCCCACGTCCATGGGTTCCTGTACTGACGCTGGAGATCCAGAAGAAGCTCCTGGCTCCCAGCTTCAGACAGGCCCAGCTCTGGCCACGACAGCCATGTGGATGGTAAACTAACGGACGGAGGATCTCATTCTCTCTAATCCTTTCAAGTAAATTAAATAAATCTTTAAAAAATCATACCAACTGTTCTTGACAGTAGCTGTTTATGTATATACCCAAGAATAATTTCAGAATGGAAAACATCTAAATAGTAGAGGTTTTATAACATGATAACAATCTTACGGACAAGTTAAGAAATTTCACAAACGTAAACCACAAGGGTAACTTGAGGTTTTGAAAAAAAAATTCTTTTTCCTTAACATTCATTTGAAAGGCAGAGTAACAGACAGAGATCTTTCACCTGCCCTTCCTGAGGGACCCCAATAACCAGGCCGGAGCCAGTCCCAGAGCAGAAGTCAGGTGACGCAGAGACCCGAGTCCTGGGACCGCTTTCACTGCCTTCCTAGACACACTGGGAGGTGTGATGCCAGCATCGCAAGCAGCAGCTTAACGTGCTGAACCACAGGACCAAGCCACAAGTTTCTAAGTTTTGAAGTCAGATATTTCAGAAGCATCTTAGAGACTGTTAGCACACAACATGCCAATAGAAGCAATGATACATGAGGCAAACCGCCTTACCTCACAGGTGTTGTAATCTTCAGAATCCAAGAGGCTACAAAGTTTGGGTAAGAGATCAGGCCAGTTCTGTAATTCTCCCTTGGAGGCTATGGTTGTAATCAGAATACCTGGAAAGAAAATGATGTTTTAGGAAACCTGACTGCATTGAGGCATCATGTGAGAGCAACTGAGCACACATGCTCACACTGCTTGAATGTACCCAGTCAGATTTCCAAACCATGTAACAACTTCCATCCACAACCTCGCATCAGCAGCGTACCTAAGAGAACGCCACAGCATAAACAGAGCTGCTCCCGGTTTCCCAACACTTCACCTTTCTAAGTCTGGGACAGTAGTTTTTTTCTTTTTAAAATCACTTATATGCACAAAAGACTGCAGCTTATTCTTCTCTAATAATGGCAAGGAAAGCTCCAACAAAACAATGCTGAGCTCCCAAGGCGGCAGAGCCAGCGGAGGATCTGGGCTCCTCCTACCCTCCCGACCCTAGTCCCGGCCTAGGACTGTCCACTGCGGTGTGTGGATAGTGAACCTGGACCCAGGAGGGGGCTCTCTACTCTCCTAGAGACCCCCTGGTTCTGAGGGCACTGAAGGGGCTCTCTGTTCTCCCATCTCTCCCAGAGACCCTTGGTTCTGAGGCATTATGCTGCAGATGACACAGGAAGGGTGTGCCTGTGTGTTCAACTACTTCAAAACGTGAAGGCTGTGTCCCCAGAGCAATTTCTCCCCTTTTTGTAGGTCAATACTTATCTTCCACCACCATCACTAACCTGCATCAAAAGGAAGGTGAGCAGTAAAAAGGACCTTTCCAGTCTTGTACAACAGGAAGCAAATAACTTAACTGGTCAGGGTTCTTACTTCAAGGTGACTGTTTCAGGCAGTTAATTTTATTATTACTATTTTTTAATTTGGAAGGCAGAGAGAGTCCCCCCCCCCCCATCTACTAGTTCACTTTCCAAATCTTGTTAACAGGGTGGGACAGGTGAGCGCCAGGAGCCTCAAACTCCATCCGACCCTTCCAATGGTGTCGCAGCACCCCTGTGCTCCAAAGACGATGCGCTGCCTCCCAGCGCGCACTAGCAGGAAGCCAGACTGGAAGCAGAGTGGCTAAAACTCAACCAGGGGGGAGGTGACATATCGGCTGTAGAACATGCCAGCCCCCAGAAACTAAACTGCACGAGTACTTACCACTTCCAAAGCACCCAAGTTAGGATATTTGAATTAGGACTGCTCACCAGACAGAAAGTTTATGGAAACATTACAAAATCCAAGAATTCAAACACTTCTGGTTCCAAGCACTTTGAGCAGAGGTTCCTCTACTTATATACATGAGTGTGCAAGCCGACTGAAGAAAGGATCCATTTCCTAGATTCACGGCAGGCATGAGACTCGGCCAGTTTTGCTCACCTGCACTGCCAGCCTGTCTACCTTCACAATTCTGACAAGTCACTGGGAAACACACTGCAGCTACACTCAGAGAAGAATATGACATAACTAGATGAAACCACTTGACTGGCTTATAGCCTAAAAATTCCACTGGCTTACTAATATAAACTAGAATTTCCACCAAAAACATCTATCTCAACCATCTCTGTTTTAAGACAATCAAATTATAGTTAAACAATTTAAATACTTCCCAAGACAAACCTAGCACCCAAATAGGCTCACCAATTTTGAAGAAGGTAGAAAAAAAAATCAGAACTCACCAGCAGTAACACCAATCTTCCTCTCCCTAATACTACTGTCTCTAACCTTTTAAACGAAGACACCAAGAACAGTAATTTGTATCAAATGGTATTTAAATCATAAAATACAAGCTAGGAAGAAAACAAACGTATTTGCAATTTCTTCCTTTTCTAAAAAATTTTAAGAGAATATTCCTTTTAAAGGCAGACTTCTGGAGGGGAGAAAACACAGACTCTTCTACTCCCTGGTTTAGTCCTCAAATGGCTTCAGCAGCCAGGGCTGGGCAGGACAAAGCTGGCAGCCTAGAGTTTCTGAGGGGGCCTCCGGAGCACTGAGCCACCTGCTGATGCTTTCCCAGGCCCACTAGCAGGGGACTGAAATGCAAATGGTGCAGCTAGGATTTGAACTGGTACCCATTTAGGATACTAGAACAGTAGGCACAGGCTTAGCCAGCCACACCACAATAACAGCCCCTACTTATTTAATCTTATTTTTGATGATGTTTACATGGTTGATTAGGGTGGGAAAGGTAGAGGAATAAGAGAAAGTGGGTGAGACCATTATTTTCTAACTGAAGGAACACCCAAAACTTCCAATGGTCGCAGTGCCCAGGGATGGGCAACAGCCACCCAATGTCATCCCAGGGTCCCCAGTGTGAAGCATCCTCCGAGGGCTCTGCTCAAGTGGTTTTGATAAGTCTGAAATGCTGTCAATCTCACAGATACAAGGATGAGGAAATCCTTCCAAGGTCCACTGGTTGACATGGCTCACCTAGAGTCTCCATTCGCCCAGATACTTGCTGACAACGCTTGGCTGGGGTAGCTGTCCAATTTGTTCTGCCCTCCTTCCTCTGCTGTGGTACCAAATGTCCTCTACAGGTCTCAATGGGACTGCCATATCCTCCATGTGCATCTGAGCACACTGTTCATTGCTCCGCCTAAGCCACTGAGGCCAGTTCTGCTATATGCTCTCCACTGTCAGACCACACATCCTGTGATTCTCCCCATGGTTGGAGTTCTGAGTCCAGCGGTTCATCTGGGGGACCCTCAAAGAAATCCTGACTGAGGTGTCCCAGACCTGGCCCTGTGTGTGCTTGCCGGTAAGGGGCTGGCTCTGTCTGTCCCCACGCCAGCCTACACACACAATGGTAGTTGCAATTGCTGGTTCAGTTCTGTCTCCAGTGCTGTCTCTTATAGAAGCCAATGGATGCTGTGTGCAGCCCAACCCTGCCCACCACACACTCGGTCCTCATGTACACCAGTAGGGGCTACAGCCTAGTCGCAGTGACCCCAGGAAACCCTCCACACGGACTGCCCCAGCCCTGGTTCCTGTGCTTGCCAGTATGTGCAGCAGACTGGCCTAGTGTGTCACACATCCCATTCAGTTCTCATACACATCAATGAAGCCTTGCTCAACCCAACCAACCCCACTACCCAGCCGGTACTCATGTCATTGGGTACTACTGCCTCTCTAGCCAGGCCCACCCTAGCCCTGGTTCTCACACTCACAGTGGGAGTTGCAGCCCAGAGATGTGCCCAGTTTCGCTACTGGGTTCACTCCCAGTCCCAGATCTTGTACTCTCCAGGTGGTTCTGCAGTCTAGCTTGACAGGACTTGCCCCCAGTCCCAGCACTTGCCAGTTGATGCTGTGACAAACCCCAACCTATACTTACTCTGGCTCATGCTTGCACCAGTGGATGCAGCTGGTTAGCCCAGCCTGGCCTTGTCTGCCCCTTGCTGCTCCCCCCCAGGTCTCATGTGTGCTGTGGCCCAGTCTGGCATGGCCATTTGCCAGCGGGTGCTGTAAGCTGTCAAATGTCCAGCCCAATCTACCCCTAGTTGCAACTCATGCTGGTGGGTGCTGCAGCCCAGTCCAGACAGCCCTACTGTGAACTGGCTGGTGCCACAGCCCGACCTGGCCTGTCCCACACCCTGTCCTGGTTCTCAGATCTGCCAGTGGGTGCTATGAACTGGCCCAGACTGGCCCCAGCCCCAACCTAACTCACATGTTTGTCAATGAGTACTGTAACCTGGCTTGGTCTGGGCTGCTCCCAGTCTTGATTCTTGTGCTCACCTGCAGGGACTGTGTCCTGACAAAGGAGCTCCCCACGTTCCTCCATCAGGTCTCCTCCCGGTGGCAGATCTCATGCATAATGCTGGGTCCCTGGCCCAGACTGACTCAGTTCCCCTCCTGTGGCAATGCCCTTGCCAAACTGGCCCACACCCATCTGTTTTCTTACTACTGGGTGCTATAGTCCAGTCACACTTGGTCCACACCCAGCTACAAATCTTGTGTGTGTTAGTGGTTGTTCTGACCCAGCTCGGTATAGCCCCTCTCCCATCTTGGCCTTTGCCATCAGATGCTGCAGCCTGGCCTGTGCTGTCCCAACTCTTGCTGGTGGGTGCTGCAGCCTAGTCCTGCTTAGTCTGTTCCCATCCTTGGGTCATGCATACCAGTAGGTGCGACAGCCCAGTCCTGCATGACCTGCACTCCAGCCTGGCTCCCGCACATGACAGCATGCTAAGGTTTGGCCTGGTCAGGCCTTGTCCGATTTGCCCTCTCTCAAAACCAACCCACATACTTGCTGACAGGTGGAGCTACTTGCCCAGCCTGACCAGCACCCAGGCCTGAATCACAGGTTCACCAGTGGGAGCCAAGTCCCACCAAGGGAGGCTCCCAGAAGGCTTGCCCCACATCCAGGTCTCACATGTGCCAGTGGTGCTAAGCCCTTGCCCAGCACAGTATGCCCCCTTCAACCCAGCCTTTGTATGAGCTGGTAGATGTTGCAACCTGGTCCACCCTGGCCTGTTCCCAACTCCAGTACCAATGAGGATCAGGGTGATTCCATGGTCATGCCTAGCTTAGCCCATCACCACCCCCAGTTCTTATACCAACCAGTAGAAATTGCAGTTCCACAGGTGTGGGCCCACATACACCCCACAGCATCTGTTCCCAGACCTGGTTCTCATGTGCTGGCTAGTGTCCTGGCCTAGCCCAACATTACCTGTCCCTTGTTCCAACTCTCACTGGCAGGTACTGTGATCCAGCCCTGCCAGGGAAGCCCCTGGCCCCATCCACAGTGTGCACCAGTGAGTGGTGGGCAGTGATCTATGCACACCAGCCCAGCTCACGTCTCCTACATGGTTGGTGCATCAGTCTGACCCATAAAGTTCCTGCAAACTGCTTGGTCTCAGCCTCTTTGTTTACCTGCAAATATAGCAGCTTTGCAGATGGAAGTCCCCAGAAGTCAATCCTCACATGCAACATATTCCCCTGGTGGTCCTCACTCCCACCTATTCCCTTCCCTTCTCCCTGCAATCCAGAGTTTGTGTCCAGGAGTGCGTGTGTTCCCCAGCAGACTTTGGTAGGGTAGTGTGCTGGTCTGGGATCTTACCCCTTCACACACCCAAGACCCAAGCCCATTCAAAGTTCCCTAAGCCCAATGCACAAGAACAACAGGCACCATGCTAACCCAGGGCTCTCCCATCCCCTCACCCACACAACCTACAACCAAACAAGCGGGGGAAATTCTAGTCTCATTCTGGCTGCCTTGGTTCGAGTCCCCAGTTGCTGCTATCCCCCAGTCCTCTGCAAGCCTGCATACCCAGGTCCCCACAAATCCATGCACCCGCAGTGGCAGCAGCCACCGCCCCTGGCAGGCGCAATGGCAGGCTCCCATGTTTCTACAACCTGTCCTGTCCAGTCCTGTCTCTTGATTTGTCATCTGTCAGAGGATTCCTATTCCTTTCCAAGTGCCACTCCAACATATATATGGTGCTTTTACTCCATGATTTTTAGTCAAAAAGGATGGCTTATACCAGGTGTGTGTTTGTGAAGAGATGGCCCATTTAAAGATCAGAGTATTCTCTTTTCTCCAAGTACAAATGCCTCCTACCCAGCCGATTTTAGAATTGGTGTTAATAATGGCATTGTTACTGGCATGAAGTCATAGAGCAGCTGCTTTATAGAACAGTACTTTTCAAATCCACAATAAAAATTAAGGACTCTTGTGAAAACTGACTGCCCAGGTAAGCAAGTGGTTAGAGCTTTCTAGGTGGGCCTTGTAAATGTCAGCCAATTACATCACAGGATACCCAATGCTGGGCTTCAGGAAGATGGGGCACACTTGCCTACTCTGGTTTCACTGGATGGTAATGCATGCTTGCCAACAGCCTGTGTATTTATGAGCCCCTCCACTCCCAAGATCTCAATTCTGCAAATATTCAATGAAATTGGCCAAGGAGAAAAAGGTTATTCTTAAGTGGCATATTTTATTGTTCAATTTCAAGTTTTAGTAGATGCCCTACTTATAGGATAATGGGTTACATTTTTAAGAAATCAAATGTTATACAAACTGACATGACAAGTTTGTCTTTCTCTGAAGACTAAGGAGTTCCAATCTGCATATTTAAAAGGGCAGATCCTAAATTGATAACATTAGTTGAAGCCCTATTTTAATTAGCTTTGATTAAGCAACTATCAGTGTTCTTGGAGAACTGAGACTTTACGGAAGCTAATATTATTTCCAAAGCATTTAAACAGTAATGAAAATTTTTGCCCATCACAACTTTATACTAAATGGATAATAAAAAAGCACTATATAAATGGTCCATCACGTGTAAAAATCCAGTTACGAACTCGTTAAGACTGTTGCCATATGAACTTACCTACAGTGGCTCTGATCAGAGGAGAGGAGTCACCGATGTTATTCAGACATTCACTTTTAATAAAGTCGGTTACACCATTTGGAAAGTTCTGAAAATGTGCTTTCACGTTATTCTTTAAGATGAGACCACTCAATGATCTCGTGGGTTCATCTGCAAGGAAACGAGAGACTGAGGTTCCAAGTCATCAATGTGTCGAACTGCATCCGCATGTCACATTAAAACATTCATTGCTGAAAAGCTGATTCAGACCCTGCAGTTTGCTGTGACTGGGGGGGTGGGGAGAGGATGGACTCAACCATCAATATCTGCCATGGTTTACAGTTCAGTGCTTTTTACCATGGACGGACACTGTCAGTTTCAGGACAACTCCTCGTTGCTGGGGACTGCTCTACCCATTATGTCTAGCAGCATCCTGGGCATAAGACGTTACTAATATCCTTCTAAGCCACGAGGATCAAAATCTGCAGCTAACGCCAAGCCTCTCCCAGTGGGTGGCTGCCAATCTGCTCCCTGCCCAAACCACTAACTTTCGTTTACATATAGCTACTGGACTCAAGCTTTATTCATGTTTTGATATAATCATAGATATGAAAGTACTAGTGCTAATTAAAAACACGTGACTGAAAACATTAAATGCACAAAGAATGTATGAGATCAACCTCACACATATACAATTGTTCTGAATTTTGTATTTTCACCTGCCTCAGTTAAACTCTCCCCAAATCTCTAAAATCATTTAAAAAGAGAGCTTTAAGCCTAATACATTAAAAGGAGCTTGAGAACGTCCTAAAATTTTTTCTTTTGATTGTAAAGGCAGAGCTTAGAGAGAAAGAGAGGGAGAATGTGTGCTATCTCCCATCTGCTGGTTCACTCCCCAAACAGCTGCAACAGCTGGAGCTCGGCCAGTTCGAAGCCAGGATTTTCTTCTAGGTCTCTTACACAGATGCAAAGGCCCAAGAACTCTGGCCATCCTCTGTTGTTCTCCCAGGCCATAAGCAGAGAGCTGGATCGAACATGGAACAGTCAGGACTCCAACAGGTGCCCATATGGGATGCTGGCTGCAGACATACTTAGGATACTAGGTCCCTGTGCTGGCTCCTGTGTTTAATTTTTATGAGCTTGTGAGACATGACAACTGACTCCCCCCCCGCCCCCACAGAGGCCTTGCCAGATGCACAAAACCCAAACACTCGCAAGCACGGGAGTCTGAGGCAGGTTGCAGGGCACATCTGAACCACCAGCCTCTCAAAGGGCTGCAAGAAACGAAGAACTGGCATGCTGATCACAACATACAACTGTTCACACTAATGTTCTAACTATCTTATTAAAAATAAAAACTATTTGGGCCCGGCGCAATAGAGTAGTGGTTAAAGTCCTTGCCTTGCACGCGCCGGTTCTGATCCCGGCGGCCCTGCTCCACTTCCCATCCAGCTCCCTGCCTGTGGCCTGGGAAAGCAGTCAAGGACAGCCCAAAGCCTGGAGACCCTGCACCCGCGTGGGAGACCTGGAAGAAGCTCCTGACTCCTGGCACAGATTGGCTAGGCTCTGGCCGCCATGAGTACCTGGGGAGTGAATCACTGGATGGAAGATCTTTCTCTTGTCTCTCCTCTCTGTATGTCTAATCTTCCAATAAAAAGAAAATAAATGTTAAAAAAAAATGCACTGGAACCTGGTGTGGTGGCTTATTCGGCTAATCCTGGCTTTGTGCATGCTGGGATCTCATCTGGGCACCAGGTGTCCTGGCTGCTCCACTTCCCATCCAGCTCCCTGCTTGTGGCCTGGGGAAGGCATCTGAGGTTGGGCCGAAGCCTTGGGAGACTGCACCTGCCTGGGAGACCCTGAAGGGGGCTCCTGACTCCTAGCCTTGCACTGGCTCAATGCTGCTGTGGTGGTCATTTGGGGAGTGAATCAGTGGGTGGAAGATCTTCCTTTCTCTTCTGTCAATCTTTCCTTTCAATACAAATAAAAGTTGGAGGAATACAATTCTGCTTTCATTTGCACTTGAAGAGAAACCATGTGTAATAAGTGTATTTATTATACTAGAACACTACTATATTTAAAACTACTGGCTTTTTAGAACCTAGAGTTTTAAATTTCCGATTAATGCCTCTCAATCACAAAACCCAGAATTATTAACTTGAAAATCATTTGGGTTGAAAATTATCTGAGAACAATGCAAATGAAATCACGACACTGTGACTGAGTTCTCAAAATCTGAACACAAGACTATCGAGTTCCTACAAGACCTGCGACCCGGCAGAGTGTGAAGCTGCACTCTGACAGCTGGGCTGCCGGTCCAGGCAGCGGCTACCTCACAGCCCAGGCAGCGGTAGCAGCAGCAGCTGTGGGAGCCTACCATGTCTTTCCCAACTCCCAGAGCGGCAGTTCTCGGGGATCACGCCGTGGCCTCTCCAGGCACACTAGGCTACCGCCCTGTGCTCCGGAAGCCAGCTGCTAGCAGCAGCCCATGTCCTGGGGTGGGGGGACAGTGTTCCAGCGCACTGCCCACTACGACCTAAGCACCTTGGGGACAGGGGCTTTTGTTTTGTATCGGCCTCCTAGCAAGACTTATGAGGTCTAGCGGGACACATTCTGTGTGTCACAACAAGCAAACCACGTCATCCAGAAAGCAGGCACTTCGTCAACTGTCACAGAAGCAAGTTACAGACTGTTTAGAACGGCTAGTCACAGCTTCCTATATACCCGCAGTGTTACTAGGGGTTAGGAATAGGATGGTCCCTTTTTGGGCAAATTTTTGAGTAGTACTTAGCCATATGAAAGAGTGTGGGAACATGATGACAAGTTCAATGGCAACTACTCTTGGGAGACAGTGTATTTTCCACTTGGATTATATGACCTCTCAAACTTTTCTACAGTGGACAGATATTTAGGCAATTATCAAATCCTGCAGTCAAACTCTACATGAAAGGTGACCAGTCTCCATCCACCAACTCCTACGCACGCACAGGAGGCAGGCACAGAGCAGACCTCACAACGTATTTTTCACTCGTAAAGAATGAGGGAATTTATTCCATAAATGCGTAATTAACAACTGGACGCTTATTAAACATCTAACTGCTTACGGTGGCAGTCCTAGGGCTCCCCGTCCCACGTCTGCGGAGCATGTGGTTACCCCAAAACAAAACCCTCCGAGATGAATACCAGGCTTTAACGGGTCTTAAAAACATTTAGACAGCTATTCACACAAATCCTACTTACCTTCAGATTTCAATTTTGTCAGAACAAAGATCAGGTAGTTGTTAAAATCTGGGTATTGATTGAGTTGTTCCAGTTTCTAGAACAAATAGTAGTTAAGGAAACTTCTCCGTAATCTAAGGAAGAAAACACTGTGACATTGTTGGTGCGAGAATAAAGTTATTTTATCCAAATCATATTCAACGATCATAGAAGCAAGTTCCAGCTTCATGTCCGAAAGAGCAGACACCTGTACGAAGAGAACAGCTCTGCAGGGCCGCTTCCTCACCCCCACCACGGGGACACGAGCGTGCAGCATCTGTGACAGCTCCACCAAGATCACATGCGCTTTCCAACTGTGCTCTACAGCAACACAAAGGTTAAGACATCTTCACCCAGCAAACCTAAACTTGTAACTCAGTCCCTGACGAACCCGACAGTGCTATCTGTACTAGCCGTCCATGACATATCAGCGCCCTCAGCGTTTAGTGCTGTAAATTAGCAACGTATACTCTAGTAAAACGCCAAGCGTAATTACCAACCAGGAACGACTTCTCGCCTCCCTCCGTGAAGGTTAGCCAAGAGTAACAGTACTCCACGTGCTAGTACGTTTTCCATAAATATTTCCAGATAAAGTTTACTGTCTTACAATTTGAGCGACACTCATCATTCCAGCCCATTTTCAAAAAGGGCTCGAATCAACACAAAAATCCAAACAACACGTTAATTCTTTAGGACACACAAAAGTGCGAGGGCGACCTCAGCACCATGCAAGTGTAAGGCAGGGATTATTTATAGTAAAAACTCCATTTCCCTCCCGGTCTCTGTACCAGCAGGCGGTTCTGACTGCAGGCACACGGGATCAGCTGTCCCACTGGCCCAAGCACAGGAGCAGGCACGCAGGCAGCCTGCAGCAGAGAGGAGGAGATGCTGGGGCTCCAGGAGACGCCACAGCACTCGTGGGCTCGGCTAACTGAAGAAACGAGTAATTGTGTCACAGAACACCTACGACTGTCAACTCGAGTTACTCCTTGAGCTATGACAATACGAATTAAGACTGAGCCATAGCAGAGCTTCAGGCATTAGCTCCAACACACCTCCGACTACAAGCAGGACTTAAACAAGATGGCTTAAAAAAAGAATCCCAGCAGATCTAAATCATCCCCTCCATCTACACGGCAGAACACGAACCAAGAAGCTGGGTGCTCATTAGTCACGTACTGAGGGCTGCAGCCCACAGCAGCGGGGAGCTCTCTGCCTCCCCCGGCTCCTGACTGCACCCGAACAGCAGCGGGGAGCTCTCTGATCCCCCGGCTCCTGACTGCACCCGAACAGCAGCGCCCAGGCCCAGGGCTCGGGGCCCCGTGCCCGGCGCGCACCGTGCAGCTCCGGCGGCCCAGGCGCCTGCCGGGACCGCTACACCAGCACCCCCGCTCGGCAGACGTTCAGATAATCGGGCGGCCAGCCTTGGGCCAAAGCTTTAAAAAGAAAATCTCACTCGAGTGCCAGGGAAGTCGCAACAGGTGTGCGGGCGGGTGTGCGGGCGGGCGGGCGGGCGCGCGCGGGGCGAGGCCAGGCGGGGACCCCCGCCGCCCACGCGTGGGTGCCCCGGCCCGCGCGGCCCGCCCGGCGCGGGGGCCTGCGGTTCGAGCCCCGCGCGCGGCGGTTCAAACCCCGCGCCGGCCCCGCCATGTGGCCCGCCCCGGCCGCCCGGAAGCCGGAGCCCACGCGGCGGGAGCGGCCGGGCCGAGGCCGCGTGCGAGCCGGCGGGGGAGGGGCGCGGGCGGCGGCCCCGGGAGGATACTTGTTGCACGGTCCTCTGGATGGTGGTGTCGGGGGACTGGGACTCCTTGAGCAGCTGCAGGATCTGCTGGAGCCCTTGCTCGTCGGGTTTCCACTCATACTCCATCTTGGTTTGCTGCAAATAAAGCCAGACACAGGAAGAGACGGCGCAAACGTGAGTCCCTGCGCGCAGGCCCCGCGGCCGCCCGCGCCCGGCCGCCCCGCCGCCCCCGGCGCCCCCGCACGCCGCCCACCTGCCTCCGGGGCCCCGCGGGGAGTCTGCGACGCGCCAAGCCGGCCCACCGCTCCCGCAGCCCGGCCGCCAACGCCTGCTGCTCCGCCGCGGCCGCCGAGCGCCAGGGCCGCGCACACTGAGTCACCGCCAATTTGCAATCTGGCCCCAAGATCCGCTCTCGGGAGCCCCCTGGGTCCTAGTGCCGCGCCGCTGCTGCAGCCCAGCCCGGCTGCAAGTCCTCGCCCAGAGAAACACCTGAGCGAGCGAAGCCCATTTAAAAGGGGTGGGAGACCCAAGGCGCCGTCGGAATAGTGAGCGAGCAGCAGGGAAAAATCAAGCTGATGCGTAAACAAATACTAATAGGTAGTCTGCGGTAAAGATATTCAATCACAAACATTAAATGCAACATTGGCAGTGCTTGACTGGAGAAGAATTCTTGGGTGAACTTCATAACTCATTATTAAGGTGAAACAGGTGTCACGGTGACATACCTTGGGCTGAAGGCACGGGCAAGGCTAACATAGCTGGGCGGTGGGGGAGTGTTTCCACGGAAGCAGCTTCACGTGTTTTCTCATTTGCTGCTCACTGCAATCCAGTGACTTTCTGCCCCTACGTGGGAGCTATGGGGCGTGCGGGACAGTCCCATCCAGGTGCCACAGCTGACCCGGCTCCGGGGCGGCCAGGGGGCACAGCTGTCACCGTCAAGGGAAGGGGACCTTCGTTAGGACGGACTGTTTTTACACGTCAAGCTGAGCTTGATCACGGAGGAGGTTTTTCCTCCTACACGACAGTCTCACAGCTGGAACTGGTCAAGGTACCTTCCTGGGAGGCAGTGGAAACCCCTGCCCGCGCAGCCGGCTTCTTCGATTTAAACAATGCCTTCTCTGTCCTCCTTCACCTCTACATTTTGCTTAGGATTCGGCATCTCACTGCTCACCGCGCTCCGCTGACTTCTGAAATGCGCCAACTCAATAAACTGTCCTAACTGCAAGTGAGCACAACCGTCACCTGGACATAATATTTACTGTGCTGCGCTGTTTTGATTCCAGGCTTCATTCTCTGTGTTTATATGTACATGGTGTTTTATAACAGCAGGTTGGTCCTGGTTCTTACCTGACTTTATGTGTCATTCCATAGTTATTTTCAGAAAACAGGATTCCATTGTTTTGCCATGCCACAATTTATCAACTTGTGATTTGTCTTCTATAGACACCAAATTGCCCGGAGGAGGAGCACGTGACTGGACGGACTGACCAAGTGGCCACACAGTCGTGGAGCCCCTCGGGGTCTGGGTGCCCACTCACAGCCTTAACCCTCCCCCAAGCTCTCCTGATAGGAAAGGGACTCTTGATGTCGCCCCTTCCCACTTTCTGCTTAGGAATCGCACACACTACATTAGCGCAACAAACCAATCTCTAGCTGTCCTTGTGAACAAGGCCTGGCGCCAAGGGCACTCGGTGTGAGACGCCTCCTCACCCCGTCCCCATGGGCTGCGCCACCAGACCGCCTCATCGTCACCTGACTCCTTTAGCCCGGCACTCAAATAGGATTCTCTCGCCACAGAAAAGATCCGTGGACACGGATCAGCCCGTGATGACAAGTATTCACATCTTATTACTCAAATTTTCTGGAATCTGACCCATAACTGCTTGCTAAGAGATCTCGAGCCCGGCTCACTTAAAGTCTTTGCCTTGCACACTCCGGATTCCCATGTGGGTGCTGGTTCTAATCCCAGCGACCCCTCTTCCCATCCAGCTCCCTGCCTGTGGAGCTCCCAGTCGAGGACGGCCCAAGGCCTGGGGACCCTGCACGTGTGTGGAACGAGCTCCTGGCTCCTGACTTTGCTCAGCTCCGGCCGTTGGGCTCACTTGGGGAGTGAATCAGTGGAGAGATCTTCCTCTCTGTCTCTCCTCCTCTCTGTATATCTGACTTTCTAATAAAAATAAATAAATCTTAAAAAACAAAAAAACACACAAGCTGTACAGCGGTGGCATTCAGGGGATCCTCACAATCATTGCCACCACTCATCTCCAGAGCGTTTCTCATTTTAGTAGCCAATGAAATGAGAAAAGCTTTACCCCAGGGTAGCCAAAGACACTGCAGGGTTAATTATTAAATACCTGAAGCACTTCAAGGTAACCAAACACACACGCTTTAGTCTATATGGAGTTGAATTCATGTATTTAAATAGTGAATATGTTAGTAGACTTTCAGAATTAAGCCTTGTTTTTCCTTTTCAAATTTAAATTACGACTATGTGGGGGGGCATTCTTTTTGCACGTTTAAGACCAAGATGTAAATGCCTCAACAAAATGAATTTTAATAATTATGCCTGATTGGCCCATGACATTCAGTGGTGACCAAAAAAGACATTTCATTAAGCCACAACAGAGATGTTATTTGAAAACCATCTAGATAGAAGAGCTTACTAAAATACGAAGTTACTGTGATACCGTTTGGAGTTTGAAAAGATCAAAACATACTTATGAGTCTAATTTGTAAAACTTACATCCAAATTTTGAGTTTGGAAGGCCAACTGTCTAGAAAAAGTAAAAAGGAAAAAAACATGTATGTAGCTCCTGATGAAGGGAATGTGAAATATTTTAAGATTTTTTATTTTTACTTGGAAGTCAAAGAGTTATAGAGAGGAGAGACACGAAGAGACCCACACACAGAGCTCGCCCATCTGCCGAGCTAAGCTGCTGAAGCCAGGAGCCAGGAACTTCCTTCAGGTCTCCCACGCGAGGGCAGGTGTCCAAGGACATGAGCCATGCTCTGCTTTCTCGGGCTTTGTTCAACGGGGAGCTGGACCAGAAGCAGGGTAGCAGGGACACAAACCAGTGCCAGTGAGATGCTGGCTTGGCCTGCCATGCCATGGTGCTGGTTCCTGTGACACGCAGTTTACAAAGCAGATGGGAGTTGGTTCTGTACTTAGTAGCTGTGAAGACTCGGGCTGGTCAGTCAGTCTCCCAGCCTGACTCCCCAACCCTAACATGGGAATATACCAACTCTGGATTGGAACTATAGGCACCTCACGCATAGATGGTCTGAAAATCCGTCTCACTAGTTAAAGCTTAGTTGTTGAGCTACTAAAAACTAATTTTACCAAGAGAAGATTCCTCGTCTCATGGAGGAACTAACTCTTCAGGGTGTCCATCGTCTTCAGGGACAGCTTTATCTACGACTCACCCGCCAGTTCAATGCTCAAGGATTTTTCCTGCATCTTTCCCATCTGTAAGCCTTTAAGACTCGGGGATCTGCTGTCTGGACACCCTCTGTTATCCCGACCATTCGGTAGCCGCCTTCTCCCTCTTTACAGCTGTCTCCTCCACCGATTTCCCAACCGTTCACGGAGGCTCTTCCTCGGCATGAATGATGGCTACTATTTACTGTATTTCCTCCTGTTTCTATGTCTCCCCACAAGACTTATTTTTTTTTTCCATTATACATCTATCGTTACAGATCTAATGATTCTATGATAATTATTTCCAGGACTGTCTCAGGAATAGATCATGTATATACTCCTTGAGAGTACAGACTGTCTCCGCCCTCCTCACCCCCACCCCGCCTCGGCCTATCTAACTCCACAAATATTTGGTGCATAAATACTACTGTTGTTACTATTAATTCAACTGATTACATATCACATCGAACAATGGCCATGTCCTTGGTGAATCCAACACATTCTCATGCTCACGAGGTTCTTATTTAGTGACAGGGAGAGGTCTGTGGTCTATGGATGAAGCTCACGGTGGAGGGCTGCTGGAATCGAGACAGGTGCTCCCCCATGCCGGTTCTGAGCCTCTCGCCCGTCTTCACGTAAATTCAAACATTTCCCCAGCAGTCAGCCCCACCTGGATGCTGAGCCACTGGGAATATGATCAATGTTGCCGTGAATGACATGACTTCCCCAAATGGGACAGCTTCAAACAAGACCATAAAATCTTCCTTCACTAACTCACTCCTGGACAAGTCAACATACATTAAAACCCTGCAAAAAGTTCACACATGTGAAAGCGACTTGAAACTATTCACAAAAGTACTGGAATGAAAGAGAAGTGTACTTTGATGTAAGGGTTCTGAAATCTATGCGTTAGTTTTTTTCACAAATTTCCGTGAACTCTTTGAAGATATCACATATACACTTTTTTTTTTTAATAAAACAGATTTGAAAGAATTACGGACACACACACACACACACACACACACACACACACACACACACACACGTGCGCATGCTCCGTCCACTGGTTCATCTCCCAAATGGCCACAAAGGCTACAGGTAGGACAGGAGCCTACATCTCCCACATGGACGGCGGCGAGCATCATCCACAGGGAACTGAGCTGGAGGGGGAAGCAGCTAGGATACTGAACCAAATGGGATGCCGGCCCTGGAGGCAGGAGCTTAACAAGCTATGCCACAACGCTGGCCCATGCTTTTCAAAACATTTTTGTGTCCGAAATTTTATTCCGGTTTACATATTGGGAGTATAAATATTTAGTTGAGCAACTAGTATTTGAAGAACTCCCTATCTATAATATAGTTAGGCTCTTGGCTCTGATAACCATAACCGTTTTCTTTCCCCCACCGGTCTGACCATTGAGTGGGCCTTCAGAAACCATCCCATGCCCAAAACAGCGCTGTGCGATGAACATCACAGGCAGCAAATGACGCCAGGTCCAGAGAGCAGTGCGGCCTCCATGGCTATGGCTACAGGAGGCAGGTACGGGAGTGAGGACACTGCATTGGCCCAACAAGGAGCTCAGGAAAGACTTTCCAAGGAGCTTTTATCTAAGATTTCATAGGGAAAGCAAACGTTGGAGGAAGGCAGAGGCGAAGAGGACCTCACAGCCTGTTGGCAAGCCGGAACCCTCAAGATCCTAAGGCTAAGAGAGCCTGTGAGAGGGACCTTAATCCGAGCGGAAGACATCACTTGTTAAAAATTTCACTTATTTACTTTTTAAAGATTTACACAGGGGGTTGGGTGAGAGAGAGGAGACAAAAAGAGAGTGAGAGAGAAAGACAAAAAGAGAGTGAGAAAGAGAGGCCGTTGTCTTCCACTCACTGGTTCATTGCCTACATGGCTGCGGTGACTAAAGCTGAGCTGATGGGAAGCTAGGGGCCAGGAGTCACCAGGTTCCTCCGTGGGTACAGAAGCCCGGGTACTTTGGCTCACCCTCTGCTGCTCTTCCTAGGCCACTAACAGGGAGCTGGGTAGCAAGTAGAGCAGCGGGGACAGGAAGGAGCTGCCACACAGGGCACTGGCAGTGCAGGTAGTGGACCAAATGGCCCAGCTGGCCACAGTACCAGCCCCTGAGAAGAAAGGATTGAATACAAAATCTGCCAAGGGGGCAGTAGCCTTGCACATGTCAGGATCCCATGGGACACCGATCTGTGTCCCAGTGGATCTGTTTCTTGTCAA